AAACAGTACTCTTGTGGAACGAAGAGGCTTGACACCGATCTTTAGAGGTTAACGTTCGTGTTATCGTTTTTCTTGCTATCTTGGTGAGGTCTTTGATAATGTATTACATAGAATCACAACTTTAAATTATGTTTCTTGTAGCAATGACCGAATCGAGATAAAAAAAAAACCTTGATGTTCTGTGATATATGGAGATATTATAATAAGGATATCGAGACGTGAATATTTGAGCCTTCATACAATTCTCCAGGAAGGATACTTGACTCGGAAAAGACATTCTTAGAATGAGACTTCAAATGAGAATTTGATTGCTGTGTAAATTAAGACAGCATCTCAGTGGCCACTTTGTGACAGGCCATTATTTCCTGGATTGACCGTTCTGAAGTACTTACATCCCAATGGGTCAGTTTCTGGAGGAATCAGGACGGGGCCACGGGGGAAACCGGCGCCAAGCCAATCGACGCAAGAGCAAGCGTCGGAATTCCCGCAGGCGGTCATCATATGGAGTTCCTTCCCTTGGTGAAAGGTGGGTTGGAGGCCAAGGTCGCATGAAATGAGTGCGTCATTATTTATATATAATTACCGGGCAGGTGTCATTCGAAGGTCTCTCTATATGGAATAAGTACTGGGGTAGAGTGTATCACAACGAGGGTAGCCTAGTAGTTCAGGCGTTTGCTCGTCACGCCGAAGACACGGGTCGATTCTCAACATTGTCCATTGTACATTGTGCGCAGTCCATTCTTGTGACGTATTATTGAACGCGGGATAAACTGTTCTGAAGAGTTGATAGCTGATCATGTATGTTTTTATTGAATTTGTTTCGGATGCATGTGCAATAATACTGGTGTAGAGATAAATATGTTTTGACGAATAATGTGAAATTCTAAAGATAATGATAAAAAGGTAGTGATTCTACATTACACTTCATGTAACGGTACTCGGGGGTACAGCATGAGGTATCGCTCCTGTCTGCCTTGCGTCGATATACCAGTCCTTGCACTTAGGTTTATTTCAAAGCATGAACACGGTATAAAACAGCATTCGCCAGTTCAGTTTAACTATCGTTAGTCTAACAATAACTCCTGTCTGCCTTGCGTGGATATACCAGTCCTTGCACTTTGGTTTACTTTAAAGTATGAACACGGTATAAAACAGCATTCACCAATTCAGTTTAACTATCGTTAGTCTAACAATAACTCAATATTCCTCTCCGATGTGCAATAAACAGGTGATAATTCTACCCCAGTATCAGAACAGAGTAAATACCCGGGCAGCGGTTCTACCATACTCTACCCGGGGACCTGTTTAATGTCTACTAAATCGTTCATTAAACACGTTCAAACATCGGTCACCTCATAAATAGCATCGGGAACTCTAACTTTATTTACTCCGCGAGATATAATTGCATAGATACAGAATATAACATTAACATGGAAATAAGTTCAGTTCCTCACACAACCTGTCACCAATCACAAGCTTCACACAACAACACATGACAGATGCACTTTACCATTCCATGATGGTGCCAAAACCATTCTCCCTTGTGTGACGTCACTATCGTGACTAGCTGACATTATCCCCAGGAATCGATATCCGCCACTTAGCGCACACGGGACTTTACCTGTTTGGATTTTAACCCATCTACTCTTTACTGTAGCTTTGAGAGTCCAGTGCCTGTTATTTTGTCACGGATAATATAATTTCGATTTTTAAGGCTAGCCGAACGAATGGCATTCAGGAAAGGTATCACTCCCTATCGTTATAGTTGTTAGTTGTATAATGTAGTATCGACAGTTTTGGGTCTTAGATGGTCTTACTGTTAGCATCTGTGGGCCGTCATGGTTGGTTTCTATAAAGTAGTTAATGACTAGGGGAGCATGTACGAAGGAATAAACGAGTCACGGTGATGATTTCTGTCAGGTGACGATTAGGTAGTGACTGAAGCCGTCTTGGAAATCAAAAGAACAGAAAGGAAACAACCAATTTTCCCAAATACGACAGGAAATTCGGAATCTAAACAAAGTTCATTGAGCAATTAGAATTAGAGTGTTTTTCTTGGTACGCTTAGATCTTGATGATGTGGGGGCGGTCGGGTAGTCGGGTGTTTAAGCGTTCTCTCGTCACGCTAACAGGTTCGATTTTCCACATGGGTACAATGTGTGAAGCCCATTTCTGGTGTTCCCCGCCGTGATATTCAAATATCACCAAATAAACTGAACTCCGTAATGTAATTTAAAAGAGAGTAAGTGTGTTATACGTGTTACCGTTGTTTACTGATTGGCACAGCAGGCTATCTTGGCACCAGAATGTTTTGCCTTAAAATTGATCATGTAATGTATATATTTTTTACCCAACCGACTATTTTCATTTCGACCACTGACCCAATGTTTTTGAGAAAAAAGTCAACCAAATAAAAGAAATAAAATGCCTTAGGCGACAAGCATAGGTTACTGTAGCGACCAGTTCTAACCCGGAATCCCCACATGAGAGTAGATCTTCCTTCATATATCTATAGGGGCAGTGGGATAGCCTTGTGGGTAAAGCGTTCGTTCGAAACGCCGAAGACCCGGTTCAATTCCCCCTATTGGTACAATGTGTGAAGTCCATTTATGGTGTCCCCTGCCGTGAAATTGCTGGAATATTGCTATAAGCGGCGTTAAACCATACTCACTCACTCATTCATTTATAACATCCGGATTAGTTGGTTGGTTGTTGTTTTACGCCGCACTCAGAAATATTCCAGCTATATGACGGCAGTCTGTAAATAATCGAGTCTGGACCAGACAATCCAGTGATTGACATCATGAGCATCGATCCGCGCAATTGGGACAAGCTTCAACCAAGTTAGCGAGCCTGACATCCGGATTAGAATAGGTCCCCAGTAGTCTATGCTTGTTGTAAGAGGCGAGTAAGTGGATGCTTTGGTCAGATTCGTTTATTTTGCTTATATCGTAGTTCATAGGTCGTACTGGCTGGTCCAGATTCGGTTATTTACAGGCCACTGCCATATGGTTGCAATATTGCTGTTGCATCGTAGTACAAAGTCGCTCACTCCTGCTTCATAAGGCCGATGGATGGTAACATACAGCGTATCGTTAGCGTCGAAGAATACTATATCCATGTAACATGATGCTTACATTGTTCCGACCGCCTCCGTGATCTGGAGGACAGAGCGTCTGCCCGGAGAGAGGAAAGTCGGTGGTTCGATCCCCGGCTGCGTCGTAACAAAACAAGTTAGGGTATCAGCAAGTACAACCTTCTATCTGGCGCTCGGCACTAAGGGGATAAAACAAGGACTAGTCGGTAAGGAGTCCGTATACTGTGTCTGAGTAGGGTATTCATGTTTAACTGCGGCCTGGTATTAATCGGCATTAGTCGGGACGAGTACAAGCAGCCACACATGACGTGCATGCCCGTCGCTTTATATACGCAATATTCTTGAACGCGACGATAAACCTGATTTCACTTCACCTCACACAGTATTATTTTCTGTATATACATATTTATCTGCAATTAATAATAAATACAAAAATAAATTAATTGCATGGTGCCCCGTCAATTATTGTTACAATTGTAATGGTCCGATAGGCGAGGTGCCCTGACAAGCCGGATGGAATTGATGGGTCTTCATTGTACTATTATCGGGATCTTAGAGTTGACGTGGGGGATCAGTTTATCTTGACATCCGCTTTTGGCCGTTGGCCGTTGGCCTTTTATAATCTCATCAACTGTCAACTTTGCTGTTCGACATTGTCGTAGATCACAAGGGTCCCCTGGGGTTCCTGGGTTAAAAGTGGTCCCCAGCAACCTAGGGCGGACACCACTAACAGGATCGGGTGGTCGGGCTCGCTGACTTCGTTGATGCATGTCATCCTATCCCAGGTGGATCAATGGTCATGTTCTCTGGTCCAGGCTCGTTTTCTTTGAGTAATGTTTGTGGTCGATGTTAAAAAACAAAACAAACTAACAAACAATCAAGCAAACAACAGGTTACTGCTTCGTTGACCTTGATCTTACTCTGATGCAGTAATTGTCATGTTATAATGTCATGGTATTTGGTGTTTGCAGCCTGTTTGTGTTTCCGTTCTCGGGTTTACATTCCATGTTATTGCTGTAGACCGTATAAATGTCCGAAGCTTATTCATCATTCTTGCAGTAATATGTTTAATGTAATATTGTGTCATTGTGTAACATTGAACCTTGCTCTACGACAAGGAGACCACGTGTCTCACATTGATCCTTGCTCTACGACAAGGAGACCCAGTGTCTCACATTGATCCTTGCTCTACGACAAGGAGACCCAGTGTCTCACATTGATCCTTACTCTACGACAAGGAGACCCAGTGTCTTATGTTGATCCTTGCTCTACGACAAGGAGACCCGGTGTCTCATGTTGATCCTTGCTCTACGACAAGGAGACCCAGTGTCTCACGTTGATCCTTGCTCTACGACAAGGAATCCCAGTGTCTCACATTGATCCTTGCTCTACAAGGAGACCCAGTGTCTCATGTTGATCCTTGCTCTACAACAAGGAGACCCAGTGTATCATGTTGATCCTTGCTCCACGACAAGGAGACCCAGTGTATCATGTTGATCCTTGCTCTACGACAAGGAGACCCGGTGTCTCATGTTGATCCTTGCTCTACAAGGAGACCCAGTGTCTTATGTTGATCCTTGCTCTACGACAAGGAGATCCAGTGTCTCATGTTGATCCTTGCTCTACGACAAGGAATCCCAGTGTCTCACATTGATCCTTGCTCTACAAGGAGACCCAGTGTCTCATGTTGATCCTTGCTCTACGACAAGCAGACCCAGTGTATCATGTTGATCCTTGCTCCACGACAAGGAGACCCAGTGTATCATGTTGATCCTTGCTCTACGACAAGGAGACCCAGTGTATCACATTGATCCTTGCTCTACGACAAGGAGACCCAGTGTCTCACATTGATCCTTGCTCTACAAGGAGATCCAGTGTCTCATGTTGATCCTTGATGTTCCAGGAATGAGGAGGAGTTGATGCAGGTGTACACAGACAGCAAGAAGGCTGTGACAGAGGAGGAGTTATTAGAAAACCTACAGACACAAAAAGACATAATAGATAACGTCAAGTTACAGCCATGGGGGATGTCAAAGAAGATGAAAATGCTGGGGTATGTACAATAGAGTAAAAATATCGGACAATTATGAAGAGAAATATGTTAGCAAGTTGGTAAATCCATAAACAACATTGCAAAACCTTTCGGTTAATGTGCAATGGATACATTTTCACTACATCTGTATATATACTACTCAAAAGATGTCAAGGACCACTCGAATATTTCATATTACTATAGTTAATATGCCATGTCATGATGCTAAGTTCTAGGTATCGATCTCAAAGACCTCTCAGAATATTGAGATCCATCTTTTGGAGTTGATTTGCCCACCTTTTAGGGACTTTGAATGTAGAGCTGTTTTATCTAAAAACCTCAAAGACACCGTATTGTCATGTTTATAATACACTTCAAAATACCGGCACAAAACGCCCTTGTGAGAATTTGTGTAAAGAATACAAAATTGCTTGAGAGAATTTTAATTTGAAACTTTGAATTTTTTAAAAGATCAAAAAAATATTTCAAAGCCTATGAGTTCCATCGTCAGTCCAACTAAACACCAGTGATCTTCACAAATAAAATAATGTTTTTTCTTCAATATAGATCACAGCATCGTGAATAAGAACATGATCAACATTAAAGTAACAAAACCTTCCATTATCGCAAGAAATATCTTCCATTTAGGATTCCCGGCCATATCAAAAGTGTTAATGAATCACTATCAAATAGTGATGATACCAGGTGTTCGCTAAAAGGTGAACCTCTCCTTCCTCGCCGGTGCCTGTCGTCGCGAACTTACGTTTGCCTTTAATATACATGTATGTCTATTTCCAGACTTGCTCAAGCCTACGTGGAGAAGTTTGAGGGGAAACTCTCTAGGAGCCAGGGCTATCAACAGAAGTGGAGGACGGTGGGTGGTGCAGGATTAAAACACATTCGCTTATTCTAAAGCGGTGTACATTTGTCAAGATAAAGGGCTTTTGCTTTTGTTTCTTACCACGTTTAATGTTTATCCCACAAGAGACACCGTATTGGATATATAAACAAAGACGAGACCCGTGAAGATCCGGGGTAGAATAGGTCTTCAGCAACCCATGCTTGCCGTAAAAGGTGACTATGCTTGTCGTAAAAAGCGACTAACGGGATCGTGTGGTCAGGCTTGCTGACTTGGTTGATGCATGTCATCGATCCCAATTGCGTGGATCGATGCTCCTGATATTAATCACTGGATTGTCTGGTCCGGACTCGATTATTTACAGACCGCCGTCACATAGCTGGAATATTGCTGAGTGCGGCGTTAAACAACCAACCAACCTACAAAGCCGATGTTAATTAGTGATTTGATGAAAACGATGTTGTCATCCTACCTCTGCATTGATATGACTGGATTAACTCGTGTGCGGCGTTCAGTTCACCTTACCTATAACATACATATTTTCTGTTTCAGTTTTTCCGTCAGCTCAATAGAAACTGGAACAACCTTGTCGCTATGTTGGTGCCCTGGGAGATGCGGATCAAGCGGATAGAGAGTGGGTAGATTAACGACATATCCAGAGATGGGTAGAATATAGACATGTCTAGAGATGGGTAGATTAACGTCACATCTAGAGATGGGTAGAATAATGACAGACGTATGTGTAGAACATTGACAGGTGTAGAGATGTGTAGATTAACGACATTTCCAGATATGGGTAGATTAACGACATATCCAGAGATGGGTAGATTAACGACATCCAGAGATGGGTAGAATAAAGACATGTCTAGAGATGGGTAGAATATAGACAGTTCTAGAGATAGGTAGATTAACGTCACATCTAGAGATGGGCAGTATAATGACAGACGTATGTGTAGAACATTGACAGGTGTCGAGACGGGGAGAATAACGATATATCCAGATATGGGTAGATTAACGACATATCCAGAGATGGGTAGATTAACGACATCCAGAGATGGGTAGAATAAAGACATGTCTAGAGATGGGTAGAATATAGACAGTTCTAGAGATAGGTAGATTAACGTCACATCTAGAGATGGGCAGTATAATGACAGACGTATGTGTAGAACATTGACAGGTGTCGAGACGGGGAGAATAACGATATATCCAGATATTGGTAGATTAACGACATATCCAGAGATAGGTAGATTAACAACATATCCAGAGATAGGTAGATTAACGACATATCCAGAGATGGGTAGATTAACGACATATCCAGATATGGATAGATTAACGACATATCCAGATATGGGTAGATTAACGGCATATCCAGAGATGGGTAGATTAATGACATATCCAGAGATGGGTAGATTAACGACATATCCAGAGATAGGTAGATTAACGACATATCCAGAGATGGGTAGATTAACGACATATCAAGAGATGGGTAGATTAACGACATATCTTGAGATAGGTAAAGTAGGGACATATCCAGAGATGGGTAGATAAACGACATATCCAGAGATGGGTAGATAAACGACATATCCAGAGATGGGTAGATTAACGACATATCTTGAGATAGGTAGATTTACGACATATCCAGAGATGGGTAGATTAACGATATATCCAGAGATGGGTAGATTAACGATATATCCAGATATGGGTAGATTAACGACATATCCAGAGATAGGTCAAGTACGGACATATCCAGAGATGGGTAGATAAACGATATATCCAGATATGGGTAGATTCACGACATATCCGGAGATGGGTAGATTAACGACATATCTTGAGATAGGTAGATTAACGACATATCCAGAGATGGGTAGATTAACGACATTTCAAGAGATGGGTAGATTAACGACATATCCAGAGATGGATAGATGGGTAAAGTAAGGACATATCCAGAGATGGGTAGATTAACGACATATCCAGAGATGGATAGATTAACGACATATCCAGAGATGGGTAGATTAACGACATATCCAGAGATGGATAGATTAACGACATATCCAGATATGGGTTAAGTAGGGACATATCCAGAGATGGGTTAAGTAGGGACATATCCAGAGATGGGTAGATTAACGACATATCCAGAGATGGGTAAAGTAAGGACATATCCAGAGATGGGTAGATTAACGACATATCCAGAGATGGGTAAAGTAGGGACATATCCAGAGATGGGTAAAGTAGGAACATATCCAGAGATGGGTAGATTAACGACATATCCAGATATGGGTTAAGTAGGGACATATCCAGAGATGGGTAGATTAACGACATATCCAGAGATGGGTAAAGTAAGGACATATCCAGAGATGGGTAGATTAACGACATATCCAGAGATGGGTAAAGTAACGACATAACGACGAGTGCTTTGTTCCAGGTCACTTCGGGTCAGTGGTGGCCTCCTACTTTGTCTTCCTACGGTGGCTCATCTGGATCAATATATGGCTCACCTTCTTGCCGCTCTGCTTCGTCATCATTCCCGAGGTACACGTCATCACTTTATGTGTTCTCTAACGTAGTTGGTACACACGGTCAATTATGATCGTGCACGCAATGTTTTTTATGGGGGATATTAGGCGCCATAACCAACGGTACAGAATTGCTTCCCTTGGCAGCTCGTCAGAAATTGATCCGTTATGATCCCTCGTCTGTCGGAGTTTTGTGTAAAGCCAAGATAGCACCATAACATAGGCATTGTATCTGGGAGTCCGGTAATAATCTTTTATTACAATCCTGCATTCCGAACCCCTCGTGATATCACAGCACATGAGAAGTGATCCTGTTTAACATAGTGTAACCACTAAATTACTAAAATTACTTAATTAAGCTCTTTATGAGAGATCAACCTCATCAACGCGTTTTCAACGAAGACAGAGGATCCCTATAATCGCGTTACTATAAATTAAAACACAATATACATAGGTCAAGTGTATTCAAGAATATTATACCTCGCGATGAAGTCTGAGGCGACGTCGACAAAAAGACTGAAAATGTTCACTTTTATTGTTAAGTAACTATGAAAACTATCAGACATGTGCAATGGTCTGGCAGCAACCCCTTTCCCTTCTTACATTTGCAATTTCATTATTTCTGCCTGATCAAAGATGGTATGGATACAATTACTGAAAATGGACAACCTTTCTTCTTTTGAGAGAAAAGTTATATATGATCCAAGTCAAATGATTTGCTTATATTCAAAATTTAAAAAAATTAGAAAATATCTCAAATCATCCACTTGGACACATTTTAGCATTACCTAAAAATTAAGACTTCGTGTTGTAACAGGTCAAACCATGGAACCCATGAAGATCTGAGTTAGAATTGACCTTGAGCAACCCCATGCTTGTCATAAGAGGTGACTAACGGGATCGGGTGGTCAGGCTTAGTGACTTGGTTGATGCATGTCATCGTATTCTAATTGCTCAGATCGATGCTCATGATGTCAATCACTGGGTTTTCTGGTCCAGACTCGATTATTTAAGCCTAATTGTCCCCCGCCGCGCGAAAGCACGAAGCGGGGGATATAGTATTCACGACCGTCCGTACGTCCCACCTGTTTGTTGCCGCGATATCTCAAAGACTAAACACTGGATTGTATTCATATTTGGAACTATGGTGTATATACAGACTCCGCAGACACCAGTCGGTTTTGGTGACCTTGACCCCATTTTCAAGGTCACAACAGGCAAATCTGCTTTTGGAGTTGGAAAACGGTGTTGCCGCGATATCTCAAAAACTAAACACTGGATTGTTTTCATATTTGGAACTATGGTGTATATACAGACTCCGCAGACACCAGTCGGTTTTGGTGACCTTGACCCCATTTTCAAGGTCACAGCAGGCAAATCTGCTTTTGGAGTTGGAAAACGGTGTTGCCGCGATATCTCAAGAATTAAATACTGGATTGTTTTCATATTTGGAACTATGGTGTATATACAGACTCCGCAGACACCAGTCGGTTTTGGTGACTTTGACCCCATTTTCAAGGTCACAGCAGGCAAATCTGCTTTTGTAGTTGTAAAACGGTGTTGCCGCGATATCTCAAAAACTAAACACTGGATTGTTTTCATATTTGGAACTATGGTGTATATACAGACTCCGCAGACACCAGTCGGCTTTGGAGACCTTGACCCCATTTTCAAGGTCACCTTAGGCAAATCTGCTTTTGGAGTTGGAAAACGGTGTTGCCGCGATATCTCAAGAACTAAACACTGGATTGTTTTCATATTTGGAACTATGGTGTATATACAGACTCCGCAGACACCAGTCGGTTTTGGTGACCTTGACCCCATTTTCAAGGTCACAGCAGGCAAATCTGCTTTTGGAGTTGGAAAACGGTGTTGCCGCGATATCTCCAGAACTAATCGCTGGATTGTCTTCATATTTGGTACTATGGTGTATATACAGGCGGGGGACATTTCGTCACTTTGTGACAAATACTTGTTCTTATTCATTATGTGATAATTTCATTAATGATTCTGAAAACTATTGCTTAAATATATTAAATTGGGAAAGATCTCGTGAGCCAAGAAGAGCCCTTATCAAATTGTGACTTTTTCGTAAAAAAATGTATTGATTATTGTTACCGTTTGGTCTAACTGGAAACTGTATTATCCAGTATTAGACAATAAAACTTAAATATTATTCAAAGCGGCGTTAAATTCCCTCACTCATTTTCCTCGTGCATTGTACGTTCTCAGCTAATCGTGGGCGCCCCCCACGGCAACATGACGAGAAAGACTGTGCCGGCAGATGAGGAGGCCAATTCAGCCGATCTCAAAACAATCTGGGACGCCGAGGTAAGTTAACTTTTGCAAGGTAGTTTCTTGGGGAGAATGTACATTCCCTGAAGAGTTGTCCTCGGCGATTGTTGATTTCGGATCCTTATTTGTGATGTGATTTTGTGATCGTAACGCAAACTCGATTATCCAGTGTATTTTATCACCATTCCATTTGATGAATTCCCTGAACCCGGGGTCACCATAGCTTCTTTTTGAGCCCTGTTCGAATAACGCGACGCTATTGCCGTCCAATCATCTTACATGATGGAAACAACCGGTGATATCACCAGGTTTGTAGTAACGCCGCGCTCAGCAATATTCCAGCTCTATGACAGCGGTCTGTACATAATCTGGACCAGACAATCCAGTAATTGACATCATGAGCATCGATGAACGCAATTGGGATCGATGACAAGCATCAACCAAGTCAGCGAGTCTGACCACCCGATCCAGTCAGTCGCCTCTTACGACAAGCATAGTCGCCTTTTACAGGAAGCATGGGTTGCTGAAGACCTATTCTACCCCGGTTCTTCACGGGTGATATCACCAGGTGCTCTACTCGCCCAACGCTTCAATACCACCTTGCTCCTCCTTGCTTGACACTCAGGAAAACATATTATCCAGCTAAAAGTTCATTTATACAAGTTTAGTTTTTATTCGACTAAATATATCTAGAACTCTTTTGTACGAAGCTGAAGATTGGAATGTTGATCCATGCCGAACGCTCGATCAGAAGAGTCCCTTTGATTGGCTGTTAATGTCGCGAGAGAAATTCTCTTAGTTAATGAAAAGCGAGGTAAATAATGATGTCATTTTGGAAACGAAGCTTTGGTGGCGAATGGGTCCGGGGCAGTTATTATTATAACAGAACGGAGATGTAATACATTTCATAATAATACCCGTGCGGATATTCCGGGGCGTTATAGGTCTCCAGTACAACATATATGAAGTAAACAGAGCTCCAGATAAGCTGCGTATCTGCGTGAAATACGCATCAGAAATGCAGAAATACACAGTAAAATATAATCTAAGCGTATCAAATACGCAACGAACATTACAGATACGCTACAAAAACAAACTTGTGCGTTTCATCAAAATATTGTGAAGTAACCCTGCGTATTCGATTAGCAAATCAGCAACTTATTTTGAAATTATAACGGGTTCCGTCAACCTTGCCAAACTCCACGATGACAGTTACATCATGATCATTTGCCATCACACTTTCTTGTGGAAGTATCGTGGTATTTTTTAGTCCTATAAAGCTCTCGAACCCACACGACACCAGTTTGTAGGGACAAGATGAATAGTGTTTTTAAATATTTAACTTAAATACCCACATGTGTAAAAACTAGTGGGTAACAGAAATTTGAATACGCAGATAGAATTACTGATACCCAATGATTTTAAAATGGATGGGTAAAATACCCACAACACCAAAAGCTTATCTGGAGCTCTGAGTAAAAGTCTAGTATAGGGGATCGGGTATTACTCAGCGGGGAGCGATGTTCATGCCATCAACCACCGGTTTTCTGACCCAGCCTCGATTGTGTCCATGCCGCAGCGACACTGCCGAAGTGTTACTGACTGTGTTGTAATACAATATATACTCAGGAACTAGTCGATAGCAAACGATAGCTCTTGTCATTTTTTAAATTATTTTGAAGTAAAAAAATTTCCTTAATGAGTTGGGTGCTATTTATTTCCTCTATCAATGCTGTTTTGTTTATTTCAGGGTATACTCAAGTATTCAGTAGTCTTTTATGGTTACTATGGTAACACCGGCGCAATTGGAAGCGGATATCGTCTGCCGCTGGCTTATCTTCTGACATGTTTCATGTCGTTTGCCCTCAGTTTCATCTTTGTGCTCAAAACGTGAGTTTTTATAATCGTAACCATATTGTTCATAAGTGTATTAGGGGGCACGGGTGGCCCAGTCGTCTAAGGCGCCACGATTCGCTGTGCAGAGTTGCGTCCCGTGGACACGCCAGAAATCTATGATTGTGGGTTCGAATCCCGGTTCGCCCCGATTATGTTTCTAGGTTTGTCAGCATCATACCCATGCTCGTGGGTTTCACCGAAGTGGTAAACGTCTGAGACCCGCATCACTTCGGGCTCTCCTCCCACATTAAGCTGACACGCCGTGATATAACTGGAATACTGTTAAAAGCGGCGTTAAACCCAACTCACTCACTCACTCAGTAATCGGGTTGAACCGGGATTCGAACCAACAATCATAGGTTTCCGGCGTGCCCAACTCTGCACAACGAGTTGCTAAGCCTTAGACGACCTTGCCCCCTGGTTTCAAAAGAATAGATGATGTATCTAGCGTAGATTCAGAAATTTTTAAGTCTTGTATAAAAGCTTGACCAGCACCTACATGTAGTGTTTACGCTGGCTAATTTCAAGGATGGAAGAGCCAATATTGACAACCAATTGTAGTCATCGTTGACTGTACGAGTTGTATATCATGTGTGTTGTAGGATGGCATCCAACTCTCGCCAAAGTCGAATGTCGACCAAAGACGAACATTTCACCTTCTCGTGGAAACTGTTTACTGAGTGGGACTACATGATCGGAAACAAGGAGACAGCCAATACGAAACACGCATCTCTTGTCACCACAATGAGGGTAGGTGTACTCGAAACGACTGACATATATTTGTAACGAGATGGCAAGGATCTTGTTCATTGTAAAGCGCCATCTGGTGGCTGATTACTTCATGGGTTATTCGCCTGTCGAGCTATTGTTTGAAATGTGCTCACCTGGATGCCAAAATGTGCTCATCTGCACGTAGAAATCATGCTCACGATAGATGCTGCGTTCTGACGTGCCATTTCTGCTTGTATCATGATTAAATTTGATATCAAAGAAGTTCAAACTGAGATAATTTAATTCAATAATTACATACAGTACGTCCACTTTTATGCTTGTTGTAAGAGGCGACTAACGAGATCGGGTTACCAGGCTCTCTCAGTCATCGTTTTCCAATTGCGTGGATCGATGCTCATAATATCAACCAGTAGATTGTCTGGTCCAGACTCGATTATTTACAGACCGCCGTCATAAAGCTAGAATATTGCTGAATGCGTCGTTAAACAACAAACAAAACGTTCCCAGCAAGATTTTCTACAAAAGCATGATTCAGCATGCTTTCCTTTTAAATGTGAACAGGACAGTCTCGGAAACACACCCTAACCCGGGCAGGTGCACGTGACTATAAACACGTCATGGCGTCGGAAGCGTGTGTGTACAACATGATAGATGAATTCTTTGACAGTTTGGATGTACACTTACAAGGAATAGCTGAGGTGCGAGTGTAACCATGTTATCATTTCACAAAGTGTGAATATCGTGGGGTCAAAGGTTTAGCATGCTGGGGAGAATATAGGCAGTTTTTAGCTCACCTGACTAAAAGTCGACTGAGATAATGTGGCTCGTCGTACGTTTGTCCGTCCGGTTGTTTGTCCATTGTTAACATTTAATTGTTCCTTCCCTATAATCTGAGAAGCTGAAATTGTGCATGGATGATTCCAGATACACTGTCTGTATAATACTCAGATAAATCAGATTCGATTTTATACATGGCCGCCTCGGCAGCCATATTGAAAATGACGTTTTGCTCATGACTCGGCCATTTCTGCTTGTATCATGATTAAAATTGATAGTAGGCAAATATGTGGTATTCGTAATAATAAAGTGAAATATGGGGTTACTTTTGCACATGTTCATGTTTACTAGCTACGACCTTTGATTCTTATGTATCCCCGTCGTTGACACACTATGCAGAAAGGGACAATGATTCAAACAGTATTTAGGATGGAGGGAATATATCAGTTATGGCTTTTAATGTGAGAGAGGTCTTGACGGAATGTTTCCAGCAGGTCTAATGACCTACTTAAAGTTGTGATAAAGAAATGAGTTATTCATGTTAATGGCCCTGTCACACTCCAACGTTTTAGAGTAACTTGCACCTAGCGTGTAAAAGACAGTTAGTACGCTGACATACGTCGAGCTTTCATCGAAAAACCATGATTTTGGCGTATTCATAGCGTATACATAACGTATACATAACGGGTTCATCGTATAAGTAACGCATGTCTAACGTATTAGTAGCGTATCACTTACTTACACATAACTTATGACAGCGTATAATAGCGTATTGCCAGAGTGTGTCTGGCGTGTTCAACGTATGGCGAGCGTATGCCCAGCGTATGAGTAACGTATGACTAGCGCGCTCAGCGTAGTGGAAAGGTGCCTAACACGGGCCCGTAGTAAATCTAGTACTTACACCAATTTATCAAAGTACCACGAAAAGCGAGAGCAGTACAGATATGTAAAAGGTTCATACGTTCCCATACGCCGAATATTTTGAGCATGCACAAAAATGTTTTTAAGCCTCGGCGTACTAGAACGTATACCAGCGTACTTTTAACGTATACAACTTACACCTAACTTAGCCATAGCGTGTTTCGGCGTTGCCGGCGTTTTGGCAATCATTTTCATACATCGCCATACGTTACTGCTATACGTTGTAGTGTGACAGGGCCCTAACCTATGGTGACACTACGTAACATAACCACCCCAACAACATAATATGCTTGTTCATTACAGGAAGCCATATTGGAGGAAGAGGAGAAGACGAAAGAGGGAAACAAGTATGTTGAAATCGCCCACTAACAAATGCTAACTCCCTGGGTATCTCGGGTCATAACAGCCTGGTTCCCTAGGTATGCTGCGCAGCCTACAGAGGGAGCCAGGCGACGGTCATTACAGGTTTATATTTCCTTTCATCCTTGAGTATCCACGACATAATATCCCCATTCTATTGGGGTGAATACCGTGGACCCGTTGTGTCCAGGGGTGGTCGGGTAGCCTAGTGGTTAAAGCGTTCGCTCGTCACGCCGAAGACCCGGGTTCGATTCCCGATATGGGTACAATGTGTGAAGCCCTTTTCTGGTGTCCCCCGCCGTGATATTGTTGGAATATTGCTAAAAGCGGCGTAAACCCATACTCACTCACTCACTCCCGTTGTGTCCACAGCGTCCTACTGAACCATTGAAGGGGGCACGAGTGGCCCAGTCGTCTCAGGCGTCGCGATTCGCTGTGCAGAGTTGCGTCCCTTGGGCACGCCAAAAACCATTGTGGGTTTGAATCCCGATTATGTTTCTAGGTTTGTCAGCACCATACCCGTGCTCGTGGGTTTCACCAAAGTGGTAAGCGTCTAAGACCTACATCACTTAGGGCTTTAGTCCCACATTGAGCTGACACGCCGCGATATAACTGGAATACTGTTAAAAGCGGCGTAACCCAACTCACTCACTCACTGAACCATTGAAAGACACCGCTAAAACTAGTTATCCGATCAAATACTGATGAGCTAGAGAAATACTGTGTTAAATGATGTAATGGATTTGTTCCCGTTATTAGAACATGAAAATTGTGATACACGTCCTTCAGTTCCAAAGACGATTTCCGAGATACGGCAAATGGTACAGTTGCGGGGCGGTCGGGTAGCCTAGTGGTTAAAGCATTCGCTCGTCACGCCGAAGACTCGGGTTCGATTCCCCACTGGGGGCCATTGTGTGAAGCCCATTTCTGGTGTCCCCCGCCGTGATATTGCTGGAATATTGCTAAAGGCGGCGTAAAACCATACTCACTCACTCACTGGTACAGTTGCACGTCCATTCGAAGGTGTTTGTGTGTATTTTGAAGTTAAAGTTTTCTTGAAAATATACCAGTTTCAAAGCGAAGATTTTATCGATGAATGACGGTAAAAGAAACTGCACTGATAATCCAAATTCCTTCCTGAAATATTGCAAATTAGTTGTTATATACGGCGATTGAGGTTTAATACTTTGGTATGGTAGCCCTATCTCCTGTTATGCCCGTCCTGAAATCAACGATACAAGTTTTGATTTCTTGAAATAAAGTGCTGAGGAAATGAGCAACAAAATATCAATAAAACGCGACATATATAGAGGTTATCACGCGAGTGTGTTTGGGGATGGTAAATATCCTGCATTAGGACTAAAAAAAATTTATTTAGCGAGCCTTGGAGAGCTAAATACATAGTGTTTATTCCTAATACAGGATATTTACCATCCCCAAACACACAAGCGTGATAACCTCTTTATCATATAATGTCATGCTTTAATTCTGTGCTTTAATATCGCTATCCCTCTCTCACAAACATTACCGAAACATTGCGAGTTTTCCTGGAATGCGCGCATTAATATTTATTACGTCACATGGTAAGTGATGTGTCAGTCGGACAGTGACAGTAGCCAATATAGTTTCAACTGAAATCTGTTTCTTATACAGTGGCGAAGCAACATATACGCAAAACAACAGTTGTTTTTAATTGCCTTTCGCGGCAATCCATCGGTCTGTCCGCTAGAGTAACTGCCCTTTGTCAAAGGGAAGCTACTCTAACCCTAGTCTATGAGACGTCACGGGCACGGTCAGACGTTGTTGACAGTCGGTCTGTCCTGTCATAACGTTAAGAAGTGTAGTCAGATGTACACACAGCGACAAAACCAAACAAGGTAACAATTCAAACATATTTCGGCCAAATCCAACTATTTTAATTTGTGGAGAAGGTTTCAAGTCGCAGAGGTCTACAAGCACAGATATTGCTACTGATCCCGCTTGGCTAGGCCTCGCGCCCTCGCAAAATTGTTTCGAAATTTATACCTCCAAAGTAGCCAAAACTTATAAAATGCCGTAGCTACGTCACAGTTAGACACTGATTTTCAGTATATTAGACTGTTCTTTTGATAATGATAGCAATTATTCCTGTTGTTTATCCAGATTCCCGATGGTTAATTTTGACTCGATCGCCGAATGACGAGGACGACGCCATGTTTGTTTATAAACAGTGAAAGAAGTCCTACTTGACCTTTGATATTTGCATCTCTATCCGCATATGACCCCAACGGATATCGTTTTTATCCGTTGGCTTTATCCTGCCGAGAAACCTGCCCATTATATGATAAATCAATATTTCTGTCAATACGATTGTTTAGTAACGCAGTAGCACATCGTATGTATATATCCTGACTGGTAACCCTCCCGTGGCATGCTTGCCGTAAAAGGTGACTATGCTTGTCGTTAAAAGGTGACTAACGGGATCGGGTGGTCAGGCTCGCTGACTTGGTTGATGCATGTCATCGATCCTAATTGCGTGGATCGATGCTCATGATATTAATCACTGGATTGTCTGGTCCAGGCTCGATTATTTACAGACCGCCGTCATATAGCTGGAATATTGCTGAGTGCGGCGTTAAACAACCAACAAACCAACCAACCCTCCCGTGGCTGCTACAGGCACCTGCTGCTGTTCCTGAGGGTGCTGGCCAATGTCCTGGTGCTGATGTCCTTGGCTCTCAGCGCCTACATCATCCAGCTGTTCGTGGACAGGTCGCGGAGGATGGAGCTCAGTAAGCGACAGGACAAGAACTTCGTGGCCGGTTTCTGGGCAGAGAATGAGGTAACCTAAATTATAAATTTGACTTGGATTATAAGCCCCTCGTCGGAATATGGCTTATAACATTTCTTGCGATTTTCATTATATTTGAGGATGGACAGAGAATCAATGTTTACATGCATATTCTACATATTTACATAAGTACATTGAGATCCGGGTTACATGTACAATAGCACATCAGCAACCTGTACTTGTCGTAAAAGGCGACTATGCTTATCGTAAGAGCGCCTAACGGGATTGGGTGGTCAGGCTCGCTGCCTTGGCTGATGCATGTCATGGTATCCCAATTGTGTGGATCGATGCTCATGATGTCAATCACTAGATTGTCTGGTCCAGACTCGATTATTTACAGACCGCCGTCATATAAACAACAAACAAACAAACAAATATAATACATTGACCATCAATATACACATGCTAGGTTTTTGCCAGTAGTATTTAGGAATGAATTTTAAACGTTATGAATAATATTTGGGGCAAATTAGAGTAAAAAAATATTTGTTTTCAATTTTGTTAATGTGTCATTTCCAATATTTCCTTATCATCCTGTTAAAGGGGGCGGTGGGGCAACCTAGTGGTTAAATCATTCGCTCGTCACGCCGAAAACCTGGGTTCGATTCTCAACATTGGTACAGTGTGTGAAATCCATTTCTGGTGTCCCCTGTCGTGATATTGCTGCAATATTACCAAAGCGGCGTAAAACCATACTCACTCACTTCAGTTTAAAGTGCATGGCATGATATTCGTAAGGTTAACAACCCACTGAGTTCAGTTTGGAAGCAGGCACCGCCAACAAGCCGTACGAACCATGCAACTAGTCGTACGAACAACATAAATTAGGATGAGGATGTCAGCAGGTCGGGGATAACCACACCAGGGACATGCGTATAATACGTCAATCGACATATATACTAATTACGTGGCACACCTAGACGCACGATATGCTTGTCGTAGGAGACGACTAACGAGATCGGGTGGTCATGCTCGCTGACGAAGTTGATGCATGTCATCGTATCCCAATAGCGAAGATCGATGGTCGTGAGGTCAATCACTTGATTGCCTAGTCCAGACTCTATTATTTACAGACATATATCTGGAATATAACAACAAACAAACATAGGCGTACGGCCTATTGGACGTCAAAATATGGTACATGTTGTTACCCTGCCTGGCGCCCTGCATTAGGGGATCTTACAATTTTCCGATTTACATTACTTTTGAGGATTGACAGAGAATCAATGTTTACATGCATATTCTACATATGTACATAAGTTTATAATACATTGAGACCCGGGTTACAATGGATCTCCAGCAACCTATGCTTGTCGTAAAAGGCGACTATGCTTCTCGTAAGTGGCGACCATCGGGATCGAGTGTTCAGACTCGCTGACTTGGTTCATGCATGTCACCGTATCCCAATTGATTGGATCGATGCTCATGATGTCAATCACTAGATTGTCAGGTCCAGACTCGATTATTTACAGACCGCCCTCATATAAACAACAAACAAACAAATATAAACAAGGACTAGTGGGCTCGGGGTGTACTGCATCTGGGTGGGGTATCCTTGTTAATCTGCTGCATGGCATCTCGGTGGGCTAGCACCATAAAACTGTCTATGTAAGTGCAATAATCATAAGAGCGACGTTTTACCCGTTTTCACCTCACCGAATCGATCGCGATTTTAAACAATGACAGGGTCAAATGAGCATGACACAACTCAACTAATTGCATTAAATATCGCTAATTAGTAACTTGATAAATACCGAGTGGTGTATGAGTTATATTCCGAATAAGGTTTAATAATACTTCGATTGTATCGTACCCCGATCTACAGTTATTCACGATCAGTGGGGGCGGTCGGGTAGCCTAGTGGTTAAAGCATTCGCTCGTCACGCCGAAGACCCGGGTTCAATTCCCGACATGGGTACAATGTGTGAAGCCCATTTCTGGTGTCCCCCGCCGTGATATTGTTGGAATATTGCTAAAAGCGGCGTAAAACCCTACTCACTCACTCACGATCAGTGACTTGACTGATTGTGTGGCATCATACCCGTGGGTCGTTGATCATGCTGTCAACCACTGGTTGGATTTGTCCAGAGTAGTCACAGGCCACCGTCGCAGAGCTGGAATATTGCTGACTGACCGGTAATACAAGAAAGTGCAGGGAACTTTACGCCACTATTTGCAAAGCGACCCGTGTAAGAGGCGTCTAACGGGATCGATGGTCAGGCTCGCTGACTTTGTTCATGCTTATCATCGTGTCCAAAGTGAGTAGGTCGATGTTTATGATGTCAATCACTGGACTGTCTGGTACATATTCGAATGTTTACAGACCGCCGTCATATAGCTGGAATATTTCAGAGTATGGCGTTAAACAAACAAACGGGTAGTCACTATCAGTTATATTTCGTGACACAAGGAGATCCTAAAGATCCGACCGCCTCCGTGGTCTAGTGGTAGAGCGTCCACCCGGAGAGCGGAAGGTCCGGGGTTCTATCCCCGGCCCGGCCGTTAGAAGATGGTACTTGTTGTTACCCTGTTGGGCGCTCGGCATTAAGGGGCTAAAACAAGGACTGGTCGGCATGTTATCTCTGTGTGTTAGCACTATAAATCGGCATCAGTCCGGACTAGCACACGCACACGCACACACACACACACACACACACATGCACGTCGCTATATAAGTGCAATAATCTATGACGCGACGTTAAACTCCATTTCACCTCACCTCACCCAAGCATCTCTGCTATCTGTATGTTTTTTCCAGCTGACGGTGATAATGACCCTGATATCCACCCTGTTCCCCAACATCTCCGACCTGATTTCCATGATGGAAAAGTACCATCCCCGGATCAACCTGCGACTCCAGCTCGCCAGGATCTTCGCCCTCAACCTCCTCAATCTTTACACCCTCTTCATCGCCCTCTACAACAAGCAGGCTGACCTGGTAGGTAGCAGCTGCCCAACAGTGTTTCAGGGCAGGATAGTCTCAGTTACATGTACCAAAGAGCCACGATCTTCACCTCTCGCGGTCCAGGGAGGATACTTCACAATTACCTCTAAAGCAACGACCTTCACCTCGTGTTTGTTTCAGGGGTCGTTTACTTCTGAATGACCTCCGCAGCACTGACCTTCACCTTGGAAAAGCCTATGAGCCACAACCTTTAAACTTTGTGGTGTTTCAGGGATAGAATTATTGTCTTTTACACCCTTGACACAACCGTCTCATCGCGGATATTCAAGTGGGACCTTTTATCCATGCTTGTACCGTATAATTGACGACTGCCAAGTGATCGGTCCTCACCTGGCTGATCGAGGCTGAGTGAGGCTGATCTAGTCTCCAGTCGTCTGGGGTGTCGCCTCTATATTTGCAGAGTTGTTTCCCTTAGGCATGCGAGAAACCTATGATTGTGGGTTCGAATCCCGGGGTCCAGGTTTGTCGGCACCATCCCCGTGCTCGTGGATTTCACTAAGATGGTAAACGTCTGGGATCTGCATCACTTTTGGCTTTCCTCCCACATGAAGATGACAGGCTGTGATATAACTGAAACGCTGGCTTAAAATTACAAGCTGAATATCGGGGTTCGATCCTCACATGGTTGCAGTCTCTTATGTTCTCCGCCGTGACTGAGGAGGCGGTAGGGTAGTCTAGTTGTTAAAACGGTGGCTCGTCGAAGACCCGGGTTCGTAATACGTGCAATGTGTGAAGCCAAATGATGTGTTCATGAAATGACCGGAGACCGCCTCCACGGTCTAGTAGTAGAGCGTCCGCCCGGAGTGTGAAAGGGCCAGGGTTCGATCCCCGGCCGCGTCTTACCAAAATACGTAAAAAGGTGGTACTTGTTACCCTGTCTGGCGCTCGGCATTTAAGGGCTAAAACAAGGACTGGTCGGCTCGGAGTCAGTATACTGTGTCTGAGTTGGGTATTTTATGTTAAACTGCGGCATGGTATCTCAGTCGACTAGCACTATAAATCGACATCAGTCCGGACTAGGACAAGCAGCCTCACACAAAAAGTGCATGCACGTCGCTATATATGTGCAATAATCTTGGACGCAACGTTAACCCCATTTCACCTCACCTCACCTACTCACTACCTCACTTACTAGCTGAAAGAGGCGATTGACGGATTCGTATTTTCAGCCTCGCTGACTTGGTTGATGCATGTCATCGTATCCCAGTAGACCGGTGCTCATGTCAATCACTGGATTGCTTGGTCCAGACTTGATTATTTACAGACATCTGGAATGTTGCTGGAATATTGCTGGAATGTTGCCGATTTCGGCGTAAAACAACAAACCAACCAACACCTCACTTTTTAATGTTGCTTATATAAGAGTGACGCGTGCGTCCTTTGTTGACTACATGCGTTTCAATATCTGGATGTAATGTTCTTAATACTCTAACGTTGAATGGTTCACAGAAAAAAGAGATCCAGTCTGAGAGGGTCGCACTTCTTGCCAGCCTCGGGAACGACACCATCCTTTGTTCCGACATCAGCACAACAGTACCTACAGTCTCCGAGTCCCCAGTGGGACGCCAGAATTGTACTGTCTTAGAAGAAACCTCCCACCTCTGCTGGGAAACAATGATTGGCCAGGTAAATAACGATCTCACCATAGCGCCGTCAGGGGACGCTCGTAAATCATTCCTGTGTTTACTACTTACCTGATTTACGGATCTGTGCCCAAAAAGTTATCAAATCCTAATTAATAAAATAACAGACAAAACCATTCCAATGTAGATCGATATGGGAAGGGATGTACTTTTTTTCAAGCAAGCAGCACATATAATTCATTTTCTATATTAAAAATATTATTCAGCCAAACATCCATAAGAATAATATTTTTAGGTTTCTCTGGTTTCGAGGGGGAAAACGTAAACAACTATATGAGCATTGCGAGGTAAAAGCGGTGAATAGAATGGAAAATGTTTTGTTTTCTGACAAAAAAGACTCATTACAAAATGTATTTAAATTGAAGAAGAAATAGCAAAAATGTTTTATCCCAAAGTGTTTGGTGTTTTGTTTTGTTATTGTTTTGTATTTCAATGTTCTGTGGCTTAACTTTTAACATACATACACCAACTTGAAGTAAAAAAATCTTCTTCTTTTTATTTTGATGAGTATTTGTCATCAATGTATATGTTTTCAAATGTCGACTTCCCATAAAGGACCAAACATTATCCGACGAAAAACAATATCAAATTATTGTGGCCTAGATTTTGGCGTAATCGTAGTTTTCCCATGTGGGGTTGTGATTCTGTGTCCCAGGAGGTGTTCAAGCTGACTGTCATGGATCTCATCTTCACCATGGGGCAGATCGTCATTATCGACTTCATCCGTGGCGTCTTCATCCGCTACTGCAACAACATCTGCTGCTGGGACATGGAGAAGAAGTTTGTAAGTGTTGATATATACTACAGGAAGGAAGTTCTTAATTTAAGGAAGTTCAAGAACACCCAATTCTTTCATATTACAATGGTCAATCTGTCATATCATGGGTGTTTGTTAACTTATTTTAGGAAGTATAAAAAGGCTCTTTTAATAATAAGTTGGGCCGTCTTTTCTATTGCTTTAAAGAACGAACATTTCGCATTAAAAATAAAATAAAAATTTAAAAAACCTCTTGGTAGATTTGAGAATGTAAACGAATCGTCCCGTTGAGGGCGTTTTGTCGACCTTCTGAACTGTTAGATTTCTAGGAGCGTACATAAGCCATTACAATTTATCACTCGCTCATTTCTTGTAATGATTCAGTCTCATTGTTGATATAAATATATTTTACATGAATACGAGGTATTTATTTCATATTTTACGAAAGGCTTTTAATTTAATCTAGCAGTTTTCTGTTTGATGTACTGTCAGACCATCCTCGAAAATCCAGCGTATTATATCTCCGTTCTATTTTGATACGCTGGATAACCGAGGATGGTCTGACATTATATTTCTTTTACTTATCATTATCAAGGGGTAAATCGCACAATCAAAATAATTGATTAACTCCAAACATCCGCTCTGAAATCCTTGTTCGAAGGTTCAAGTTAAAAACATATGTAAGCATTAAGTTACACAAGTTACATAATAAATACACGGGGTAGAATTGGTCTTCAATTGGTCAGGCTCGGTGACTTGGTTGATGCTTGTCATCGTATCCCAATTGCATGGATCCTCATTAGGTCAATCACTGGATTGTCTGGTCCAGACATGATTATTTTACAGACCGCCGTCATATAGCTGGAATTGCTGAGTGCGGCGTTAAACAACAAACATACATGTCTAAAGACACCTGGGGCTTATACACTGTATTGTTGTTGTCTTTATTTCAGCCCGAATATCCGGACTTTAAGACCGCAGAGAATCTCCTCCATTTGATCAACAACCAGGGCGTCATATGGTACGTCTACAACAATTATTGTCTTGTGGCGCAATGAGCGAAGAAGAGTTCGCTGGTTACTCGGGTTAGATTCTATAAAAAAAAATGGGTAAAAGGCGATGTACATATTCTTCGCGTCCCCAGCCCTAGTGGTTAAAGCGTTCACTCGTCACGCCGAAGACCCGGGTTCGATTCCCCGACATGGGTGCAATGCGTGTCCCCCGCCGTGATATTGCTGGCATATTGCTAAAAGCGGCGTAAATCCATACTCACTCACTCACTCGTGTCCCCAGCAATGGCATCGTTGACTATTGTCACAAGATGCCTAAAACTACACTTGGTAACTATTTTGTTTAAAAAACCTATTGGGTTTCCGGGCTTGAGAGTAAATATGATTGCATTATTTTTCAAAATCATTTATGAACAGATGAATCGGCATACAACAATAACTTTCACCAAGTACATACATACATCGTGATATACACTCTGAAATAACAAGTCGGGTTGTATTTGCACAATCTTGCTTTTTAGTTGTTTGTATAGAGTTTGTATGAATATCATTTTATTTTTAATTTGCTCTTTCCAGGCTTGGCACTTTCTTTGCTCCCGGACTTCCGGTTCTCAATATGTTCAAACTGATGATCTTGGTGTATGTCCGATGTTGGTCAGTCATGGTGTGCAATGTCCCCCAGGAAAGGATATTCCGAGCCTCGCGTTCTAACAACTTTTACTACGCACTACTTCTCGTCATGTTGTTTCTGTGTATGCTCCCGCCGTTGTTTGCTATCGTGGGCGTGGAACCATCGCCTAGATGTGGGCCGTTCAGGTAAGACGTTTTCATTTTTTCATATGTCGTTCAGACAACCCCGTGGGACCCGTGCTGATTCCAGGTTAGACTAGATCCCCAGCAACCCGTGCTTGTTGTAAGCATCTTCCCGAGGCAAGAGATTTAACTGACTTTAAAAGTCCAGTTTCCACCCTTGTCGAACTTTGCTGGAATTCCTGGGCTCGATCGTAGCGCCACCAGTGGCTGTTACGAGTTATATATGTCCCTTCTATGCCTCTCCTATGGACCAATCACATTCCACCTCTCGTTTTGCTTGCATTTGCTTCAAACAAAATGGCGGCGCCCAGTCAAAACGATCTGATCGACAATCAGGGTCTATATTGTGAGAAAACGGGTCTTACATCGCGAAGTGCATCAAATCACGTATGCACTTTCATTAAAAACTTGAAAAGATTTGTTCATGCTACAAACGGATGTCACGGATAGGCCAGCCGTCTGTACAGAGTTGCTTCCCTTAGGCCTTCCAACATCCTAGGCTCGTGGTTTCAAATCCCAGATTTACCCTGAATATTATAATTGAATTGTCAGTACATGCTCGTGCTCGTGGGTAACCACAGTGGTAAACGTCTGAGACTTGCGTCACATCGGGCTTTCCTTACTCATTTAATCTGAAACGCCATATTTTACTGGACTTCTGTTCAAAAAGCGGCGTGAAATACAACTCGCTCATTCATGCGATAAACCACTTTATTGCTGTCCGGGGCTTCATTATTTCAAAATTTGCAGGCCGCTATGCGTTTGCTGGAATATTGCCGTTGCGTAAAATAACATTTTCTCACTCTCTTGTTAGGCCGATTTAAAATAGTGAGTGAGGGAATGAGTTGGGGATAACTCCGCTTTAACAGTATTCCAATTTTATCACGGCGTGTCCGCTTAATGTTGGGAGGAAAGTCCGAAGTGATGCAGGTCTCAGACGTTTACCACTTCGGTGAAACCCACGAGTACGGGTATGGTGCAGACAAACCTAGAAACATAATCAGGGCGAACCGGGATTTGGACACGTTTCTTGCGTGCCCAAGGGACGCAACTCTGCACAGCAAATCGCGGCGCCTTAGACGACTGGGCCACCCGTGCCCCCCGACTTAAAATAACCTTGTCCCATTTGGTTAAATACAAATATACCTATACGTATCAATTCTCTTTCCACGAATTGTATATTGAAATATCGGAAATGTGCGAGGGTCAAAGTTAACCGATACGTACACTCGCCAGCAAAGACGTTCGAATGTTTACGTCATCATGGCGAATGACGTCATAGTAAGTGACGTCAGCAACACTGTTTAGAGAATCGGTTATTTTTAACCTGGCGGAAATTGTAACAGGTGGTAACATTGATGGCTTCTCTCCTGAATGGGTAGAGCTGGATGTACAAAAACACCTCTATCAGGCGCAATTCAGTCAGCCAAGGTGAGAATTTCTTCACATAACTGTTACGTGTAGGACCGGGAAACTCTTGTCACTATTTAATTTATGCAAAACATGTAAATTCCCCAAATGAAGGAAGAAATAGCTCTCAGCGGTGCAGGACGCATGACTTTTGTTTTGTAATACAATTAACTTAATTAGAAGACATTTGGAACCCAATATACGTATTTTGAAGGAAATTTTCTGAAAAGTCATACCTATTCTTTTCAATTTCGGTATTATGATAAAATCATTTGTTTTCCTTTGAATTAGATCTAATGAAAACAGCAATGGTGAGTTTCACTAGGGTTTGACATACGTTTGTATGGTCATCGAACAAACAATGGGAAGCCAATGCGCCGATTCACTATGGCGATGTTACAATAGGGATTAAATTGGCCTCGTCAAATTGTAATTTTGTGTCAAGTTCCGAGTTTTCCAAATTTGATCAGAATATCATTGTGTGTGGCGACCCAAGAGTGTCAATGAAGTACCTTTTTAAAAGCTGCACATAATAATTATTGTGTCGACTAGTTGTTAATTTAGCTAGCCTAATTCATACTTTTGTCTCAAATTACGTTTGTGGTAAATGGTACACAACTGTCGAATGTACTAATTCAGTGATATATTGACCATTCTGTATTTGTTAAATACAAGTACTCAGTAAGTTTTGGAGTGTTTTTTCTTTTCCAATCTTATTACTTGTAATTTCCCTTCGCGTGTGTGCGTTGTCGGCTGTACTAGTTCATCAAACAAAAGTATGAAGAACATGGTTACGAAAATACATTTAGCATTCATTGTTACATATAATCCTTGACTGACAACCCTCGTACAACATTTACAAAGGACCATGCACACTGATCAGATAAGGTGCTAAGTTTATTAAAAATATAAAACAAGTTAATACTCACAACCACATACATTATATAACCTTTTTTTTATATATGAAAACAGGATAGATGATGTAAACGAAGATGTCATTTGTCTCGGGGATGATTGGATAAATGTTTATTGCCGATTATTAATAAGCAGAAACAAACTGTAAACTTTATATATATAATACAGTCTTCACATAATATGAAATTGGTTCAAAATTGAACTTGTATGTGCCCTTGTTCATATATTAGCATGTTGTTTCAGTGGCATGGGAGCGATGTACGAGGTCCTGACAGACGCGATGCAGAGCGGGCTACCGTCATGGGTCAACTCCATTCTGAAATACGCCGCCTCCCCTGCAATCATCATCCCAGTCTTCCTCCTGCTGCTGTGAGAACCGTTTATATAAGTATTGTTACTCACCCTTAGAAGTGGCTTGAACCCGTGGAGATCCCGTTTAGAATTGGTCTTCAATAATCCATGCTTGTCGTAAGAGGCGACATACGGGATCGGGTGGTCAGGCTCGTGGACTTGGTTGATGCATGTCATCGTGTCCCAATTGCGTGGATCGATGCTCGTGATGTCAATCACTGGATTGTCTGGTTCAGACTCCATTATTTACATTCCGCCGTCATATCGTTGGAATACTGCTTAGTGCGACGTTGAACAATCAAAACAAACAAGTCTGAACTGCAGGTACTAGCCCTCTATTTATAGGCAGGCTGAGGAGGCACTGCAGGTAGCTGAAAGGATGCAGAAAAGAGGCAGAAGCATTGCCATGGTGTCTCAGGGTTACTCTGATCGCCGAATGGAGACACGGCGGTCGCCACAGTCGTTCAATGCACGCTGTCGGTCGCCCAAAGGAGGCACAAGGGAAGCAGAAGCTTCGCCCAGAATGACGGGAAAATATTTCAGCAGAACGCATCTATTACCTGGCGACCATTGGGCGATCACTGTGCCTTCATTCTGCAACAACGGCAATGTTTGTGCCTCCCTTGAGCCACCTCTGAGCAACCAACCTCCTCGGCGACCTTTGTGCGACTGTTTTGAACATGTTCAAAAATTCATTGCGTCCATGGCGATGTCTGAACTTCCTGTGTGTCACATTGGCACGACCGAGGCAACCATTCTGCCTCCTTTGAGCCTCCAACGACGATCTTGCAAATTTTATGGTCGCACACGGGAGGCACAAAGAACGCCATCCTGTGTTAAGGCCCCATTACTCTCGTTCATTAATGGATGAGCATATCATATTGAATACATAGACCTCCCACAATGATGGGTTTATTTCGTCTCTGGGCGGTGTGATAAACTATGGTTATAGCATTAGCTCGTCACTCCAAATTACATGGGTTTTTATTTGGACACCATTAATGGGAAAAGAGGCGTTAAACCTCTTTCACATTTGGGTATCCATGCCACAAAACCGGATTATTCCCAATCATCTGAGCACAAATTTGGTTCAAAATATAAGCAGGCTTGAGCAGCTATTTGAAAGTGGAAGGGCCTCGCTTTTCAGAACTTAAAGGGGAAGTGTACACGCAAAAATCACTTTCTTTCTTTTTCTAAACAAAACGCAATTTTAGAATTAATTAGTATCTGTGTTTGAAAATATACACTAATTTTTTTCACAGTGAAAGTAGGAAGCTCACAATAGTGTGAAAATGATATGCCGTTATGAGGCCTTCGTTTTTCGAGCTAAACAGGCCTGAGTTATCACCCTTAGATTATGACGTAATTGGTGCCAATTCAACTGGGTCCCTGTCTATTCTCAACGCAAAAGATATCAAGTACCAGTTTGCGGTAAAACAACATGGCCTACGACACACTCCGGCGCAGTGGTGACTATGCTGGCTGGCATCAGAGACGCTAGAATCACACACCTAGACCTACACCACGTGAAGCGGCTCTAACAAAGCATGAAGACGTCATAATGTTTATCAATTGGCACCAATGACGTCATATTGCAAGGGGCATAAGCCATGGTACTTTTGTTGTGTAAATGTGAAAAATATAAATTGTTTTAATGCGAAAAATATGTTAATTAATTGTGATATTTTTATATTTTTGTCTATGACACTTCTAGTTGAAAACGCTAGTTGGTGACCGATAACATATTTCTAGTTATATGGGTTCAGGATTGCTGATGTGACCATAATTTGTTATACATGCCATGCATGTCGCCAAGGCAGTAAACATTCCATATGTTGTGATAGTTATCCCCCTTTGTAGGATGACGATATACTACCTAGTGTCTGTGGGACGGTCCCTAAGAGAGTCCAATAACGACCTGCGCAATCAGTTGGAATATGTGAGTAACAACGGCATAGATGTTTATCTTGGACCAGTTTAATGCAAAATATTTATTTCCAAATAATCAAGACATTTGGGTCTGTAAACTCAAATATGGTTGAAGTGGCAGCAAATTATTGATCTGATACAATTGAGTGAGTGAGTGAGTTGGTTTTAACGCCACCTACAGTTTTCCAGTTAATTCGTGGCGCATCAGCTTAATATGGAAGGAAAGCACGAAGTGATGCAGGTATCAGACGTTTAACACTTTGTGGCAACCCATGAGCACGGGTATGTTGCTGACAAACCAAGAAACTTAATCGGGGCGAACCGAGACCCGTGAAGATTCCGGGGTAGAATAGGTCTCCAGCAACCCATGCTTGCCGTAAAAAGTGACTATGCTTGTCGTAAAAGGCGACTAACAGGATCGGGTGGTCGTTGATGCATGTCATCGTTCTCAATTGCGTGGATCGATGCTCATGATATTAATCCCTGGATTGTCTGGTCCAGACTCGATTATTGACAGACCGCTGTCATATAGCTGGAATATTGCTGAGTGCGGCGTTAAACAACAAACCAACCAACCAACCGGGATTGGAACCCACAATCATGTTTCTGGGAACCAACTTTGCACAACTGGGCCACCCATGCCCCCTACAATATATTGAAAATACTGCAGACGTGACAATATATTTAATACTATTTGAGCGCTTGAATTTCCGTTGTGAACAGTTTCCAAAATGATGTATGTTATTTCAGGAAAGGACAGACGGCAGAAGAAAAGTCTACGCTATGGCAGACGGTAAGACGCGGTATAAAGTATAACAATCAAAATGAAAACACATGTATGTTTTGGTAAGCAATTATAATCTTACCTAATGAAGACGGTTATTATGAAGCTTGAACCTCATTATGGCTTGCATCCTCACACACAACCCTCTTCTTACAACTGAGCATGTGGCGATAAATCAGTCAGGTTTGCATGTTTGTTCCAGCTAAACATGACACTGAGGGTGACGGAGTTATTCAGAGGAAAGGACCAGCTGTGGCCCCAAAACCTAGGGCCAAGAAGAAAGACATGACTAATGCAGGTATGCCACATCAAATAATTTCTCTTATTCAATTTTGAAAAGAGCTTGACAAGCTGTATCTGATGGGAGTAGTTTATAAACTGCTTATCATTTTCCAAACCAAAATGCTAGGTCCAGACTTCCAAAATAAATAACCTGCCACAGGGGCATGCATCTTAGACAATCTATCAACTTCACAAACACATGTGTTGCTCTCTTTCAGTATCATCAGTCCTGACAGCAGCTCGGTTGGCAAAGATGATGTCAGGAGGTGCCGATCCCCCAAAGGTGATCACTGCATCTCCATCACCAGATCAACACAAAATCCCTGTTGCAGTAGTGCATGGGAAGAAGTCAGTGAAGGAGAGGGCCAGCAAAGAAATACTTCTCAGGTAGATCTGTCTTCCTGCTTGTGGCTAAGTACTCAAAAAAAAGTTAATGACCACCTAATTCTTTCATATTACTATGGTATGTCATGACAGATGAACTATTTTTAATATGAAAGAATTGGGTGGTCCTTAACTTTTTATGAGCAGTAAATAAGGGTCCATTGAATATTTTGTTTATGAAACTTCTTGTACAGATCAGTGTAGTGGTGAAACTGATGCCTATTGATGATTTGGGATTTTAAAAAATACTCAACCGCATTCTTTTTTCTTAACTGAACTTTAGTTATCCAATGGCAATGAGCCAAAAGTAGGGTATAAGAAGGAGATCAATCCTTTCCAACATATGCCTCTGTATAAACTGAAATGGGTTTAAAGTTATTCGAACCGTAAATGTGGATATTGCATTGTCAGAAACATATCCAAATGCAGTAACACACCTACTGTGTTATCAAAGACTGCTCAGATCTATAGCTACAGTGAATAAATGTTCCTTTTGCTACTACAGGGATGCAGTCCACAGGCAGGAGCACCAACTAGCCAAGTACAATCAAGGCTATGACCCAGCAGGTGACGATGAAGGGACCCAACTAGCACAGGATGATCTGACCAACGGGCTGCTAAAGATGCTCGTCACTAAATCAAAGATGAAACGGCCCCATGGAAGGAGATCGCACACAAACACAGTGCAACAAAACATAGAAGTGGAAGAATCATCAGACGATCCAGAGGTTACTCTGAGATCATCTCAAGAAAGTAGGACAAAATCTGCCGAGAAACTAGTTCCAAATAGGAAACGCAGCAAGAACGTCTTGGCTCAGCCCCAGGAAAGACGTTCCAGAAGCTCCAGCAAGGAAGGCCGTGCAAGGAAAAGCAAGAACACCTCTGTTGAGATCGTCAATGAAACGGTGCAGGCAGAGGTCAATGTGTGTCCTCCGAGCAATGTGAAAAAGTCCTCATCTCAGACTAATGTGAGGCAGTCCAGATCTGAAGACAATGTGAAACTGTCTAATTCTCGGAACAATTTGAGCTCCAAAAGGAGCGTAACAAAAGCTATTCCTAAGATTACAGTTGAGGACTGCAGTGATGACAATACCGACAGCAAAAGGTTAGTTGGGGAAGACAGTTCTGATTCGGAGAGCTCCAGCAGTAGCCAGGACAACAGTATAAACCAGGACAATCTCAACCTATCTTTTGCCTCGGACAATATGTCGGATAGCAGATCTCCAGAGATTGACACATCTAGGCAGAAATTTGCAAGTCTTCTGTCATTTTTCAAAGAGTCTGAAAGTGATGGTGGTAGCTCAGACGACCAAAACAGTCCTGATGCTATAGCAGCCCGGAGAAGGTTTGCATCAGCTTTTACTCAATTCAGCAAGAGGTAGAAGCATCTCCTTCTGAACTATGAAATAGGGCAAACAAACTTCTTTCAATTTGATTGATGTAACTGCTTTCTGGGTTTCATTAAAAAAAGAACACATATCAATTTCAAAGGCTGCTATGTAAACAGGCTTTCTGGCAAGTCAGCCGATGATATGTACATAGATACACACAAAAATAAACTACTTATCCATTTCTAATTGTGTCGGTGTATGAACAAGGGAAGGACTGGTACTGCAAACTCTACTCGGTTAGCACCTGCAAAAATTGACTTGGGTGTGTCTTAATATAACAAGCAGAGACCTCATATCACGGAGTAAAGGATGTTTTAAACACAATGTGAATTCATGGCTCTCATCAGGCATTACCCTGCATCAACAATTCACTTTCAGGGATATTTATGCAAGTAAATAATTTGTTAAAAGAAAAGTGACAAAATTAGCATTTCTTTCAGATTAAATGCAATGTTTTTATACTTACCTGACGCTACACCTATTGGCACTGTAGCATCAGGTAAGGTAAAACTCGTAATGTTCACATCTCTGGGTACAGTCTAATTTGCTGTGATTTCAACTGTTGGGGTGCAAAAATATCAAAAAAGGACATCGATGTACATGTAAGCAGTTTAATGACTGTACAATAAATAACAATAATGACCAGACATGACGATAACAGTACATCACTAGTAGGCCAGGGCGACGGTACCACCTGAAACGAGAAGCTAAATCATCACCAGGTCAGAGTCATGTGAACATGTGGTATAGCAGCATCTTTATAATGGACAACCAGACATGAAGTGAAGCTACTCACATTATTTCTTCTCTTTCTCCTCACGTTTCTTGGCGGCAGTTGCCTTCGCCTGGAAAACACAACATAATTGAATTAAGGAGACCAAACAGTGAGGCAAATCTTTTATTCGAAGGACCCCTAATCCTAAGTATGATTAATATTGGACCGGAGTTCGGTTCTAAAAGGGGACTAATTTTCTCAAAAACTATTAAAGTCAGAGAATGAAACTTTACATACTGATATTACTGGTCATGATCTGAAATGAGTTATGGCCCTTGTTTTTCAAAAACAACTGAAGTTACTTGAATGAAAGTTAGTCTTGACAAGTATCCCTTGGATAGGCAAGCTTGATTCCGTAAAAATGTTTTACAGAGTTTCGGCCCTTTATAATCAATGTTATTTTACTCTGTGCATAGTTTTCTCAGATACTACTGAGGTTAGCTATCTAAGAGATACTTATCAAGGAAGGGACCTTAAGTGTATATTAATTTCACATGAAATCATTTCTTCTGATGACATAGAGGGGCCCAAGTGACAAACAAACTTATAATGTGCCTCATGGCAGGAATAGTGATAACACTGTTTTCTTGTTCAGACTGATCCTGTGACAAAAGACATTAAGGTTCCATGATTAGAAGGAACAGTGACGATGTTTTCAGCTAAGGCTGGCTTCACGCATTAACACCTATGTGGAGAATCGAACCCTTTAGCATGATATACTACACTACAGACCCTGTAACTAACCTGTTCTACTAGAGGAAGAAGTTTTTCTTCTTTTGCCAGAATTTTCAACAATTCCATGATGAATGGTAGGTAGTTATGCCTTCTTCGAATGTTTTCAACCTGAAAAGTGGAGATCACACTGTGGACAAATGCCATTATGTTGGCAAAAAAACACACTGATTGACATAATGAGCATGCAAACATGTTAGGAGACTAACCACCCAATCCAATTCAGCTGCCTCTTACAACAAGCAATTTAGTGCTGTCTAACCCAGGACCCTGTTTCAAGAAACCTTAATGTTGACATCCTCTTTCACAATACACTTCAAGTATATATTTCTAATGTACACCAGTTTCATGAACTATTGGAATTCAATCAAAAAATATATGTAATAAACAAGGCAAAAAGTGAGCAGGGCTCACTAACACCCCCACCCTAGACTCAAAAATATTTCTAAGTTAAAACATGAAAAAGGTAACACAAAATTTTTCCTTTGGAAGGATGGAATTCCTTGGTATAACTATATACCCCTGCCCTTTCAGGTCAGAGTTTAATAAAAACAAACACATGATTGAGTTGTATAATCGACAGTCACAATTGGAAGCGAAACCTTAGTGATGTACCGGTAAGCACTTGTGTGTGAGTTTTGTTGAATGCTGCTTTGAACAGTATTCCAGTTATATTACAGCGTTTACAACTTTGGTGTTGTTTGTTTCATTGTTTGTTTGGTGTTTAATGCTGCACTCAGCAATATTCCAGCTATATGACGGTGGTCTGTAAATAATCAAGTCTGGACCAGACAATCCAGTGATTGACATCATGAGCATCGATACCACTTTGGTGAAACCCACAAGCACGAGTATGGTGCTGACAAACCTAGACACATAATAATTTATGAACGTCCCTGTGATATTCCTTGTTTCAGGGGGATGACATGAACACTTCCAAATTGGATACAGTATTGACTTGAAGTATAAAGTAAGGGTGTACCGAAGGAAGAGAGGGTTGTGTTGATACCGGTAGTAAATTGTTAATGAAATTTTATCAACATATGATTTTAACAAGTACAGGACTACAGCCGGCATATTTTAGGATTATCACCTCCTCGTCTGCTACAAAGAAAGTCGCCACTTTCAAGAAATGCATGATGGTCCTACAGATAAACTGATGAGTCATATGTCTTATCCAAGATTGCGGACATTTCCCGAGCAAAAACGTGTATAACGAACAACGGATATACGAACTGATTTCTCTGGTCCCTTGTAGTTCGTTATATCCGTGTTCTACTGTACTTGTCTACGTAGTTTATCCAGAATGTGTGGTGCTGTATATTTTTACTTAAATACAGCTCTTAATCAAACAACGACACAGAGGTATGGAATTAAGTTAGGTCACAATGTGAGTGAGTTTGGTTTTACGCCGCTTTTAGCAATATCACGGCGGGGGACACCAGAAATGGGCTTCACACATTGTACCTATGTTGGGAAACGAACCCGGGTCTTCGGCATGACAAGCGAACGCTTTAACCACAAGGCTACCCGACGGCCCCAGGTCACAATGTGGTGAAAGTGAAGAGGATTATGCAAATCAGCCTAAAATAGTGCCATCCACAAATACTGTCATATGGCCTTACTAGTGCAACCAGGCCTAGGCTAGTACACCAAGTTCAGGTTGAGATCAGGGTGCTTTGTGAAACAAGGCCTAGGAATTAGGTCCCACAGTTTACAGCGGCATCTTGGCAGCCTGAACATTTTACTCCAGCAACATTAGAGTTAAGATGATCGTAACTCCCATATCTTAACATAGGTTTACGATGATCGTAGCGCTAAGATCGCTTTGTGGAACGGGGCCCTGTTGACCCTCACTGAAGCCCCGCGTGTGACCCACCTTGTATCTCTTCATCTTCATCTCTTCCTCCTGGATGAGGACCGTGAGCTTGGTCAGCTCCGACTGAATATCATCAGTGACCATGCCACCACTCTACAACATTGTTACATGAACATTCTAGCAGTTGCTTACTCATTTCTGATACTTTCAAATTAAACACAAAACAAAGGAAAGCTGTTATAAAGCTTCAGCACCTCACCAACGTATCCTATAATTTCATGACAACCGATTACACCAAATGTCAACATATTTTTCAGCGGTGTTTAACAGCTCTCTTAATAGTATCAGCTTTACATCCTACTGCTCGGTGATCATGCTACTAAGGTTCATACAAAGTAAAGTCCATGAATGTGAGTGAGTGAGTTGTGTTTAACGCCGCTTTTAACAGTATTCCAGTTATATCACGGCGTGTCAGCTTAATGTGGGAGGAAAGCCCAAAGTGACGCAGGTCTCAGACGTTTACCATTTCGGTGAAACCCACGGGCACGGGCACGGGTATGGTGCTGACAAACCTTGAAACATAATTGGGGCAAACCGAATTTCGAACCCACAATTATAGGTTTCTGGCGTGCCCAAGGGACGCAACTCTGCACAGCGAATCGCAGCGCCCCTTCTGGGCCCCGTTCCACAAAGCGAACTTGGCGCTAAGGTGATCATAACTCCCATACTTTAACATAGGGTTACGATCATCGTAGCGCCAAGATCACTTTGTGGAACGGGACCTTGGTATCATCACTGCTACCATGTGTGCAGGTGGCTCTTACAAGAATCTCAAAATTTGCCTCTAACTCCAAATGTAGTGACTTATTTTTTGTGTGTATGTCAGTGAATTTGGAAAGGTTTACGACCAACTTGCTATTTCCTTGATGAATTTATATTTTTGTTCAACGAAAAGGTACCCAACTTCCCCTTCCCTTATGATACCAATTACATGATAGTTAAAATGAAAGAGAAATTCAAATTGACAAAGACTTGTTTGAAAAAGTAAAAGTCAGTCGACTGAGAGTTCAACACCAAGTATGGTTGTGGCCGCCTATCACAGCACTCTTAAGTTTGTTTTTTTAGTTAGAGGGCCAAGCAACTTTGACATGACTATTTTAGGAGCCAACCTTTTCTTCCCAGGAGCCAGACTGAGAGTCTGAGATGGGACATGTTCACCCAGGTTTCATGTGAGGTAGAACATATGTTTGGCCAGGTTTCATGTTAGGTAGGACATGTTTGGCCAGGTTTCATGTGAGATAGGACACGTGTTTGGCCAGGTTTCATGTTAGGTAGGACATGTTTGGCCAGGTTTCATGTGAGGTAGGACATGTGTTTGGCCAGGTTTCATGCGAGGTAGGACATGTGTTTGGCCAGGTTTCATGTGAGATAGAACATGTGTTTGGCCAGGTTTCATGCGAGGTAGGACATGTGTTTGGCCAGGTTTCATGCGAGGTAGGACATGTGTTTGGCCAGGTTTCATGTGAGGTAGGACATGTGTTTGGCCAGGTTTCATGCGAGGTAGGACATGTGTTTGGCCAGGTTTCATGCGAGGTAGGACATGTGTTTGGCCAGGTTTCATGTGAGGTAGGACATGTGTTTGGCCAGGTTTCATGTGAGGTAGGACATGTGTTTGGCCAGGTTTCATGCGAGGTAGGACATGTGTTTGGCCAGGTTTCATGTGAGGTAGGACATGTGTTTGGCCAGGTTTCATGTGAGATAGGACATGTGTTTGGCCAGGTTTCATGTGAGGTAGGACATGTGTTTGGCCAGGTTTCATGTGAGATAGGACATGTGTTTGGCCAGGTTTCATGCGAGGTAGGACATGTGTTTGGCCAGGTTTCATGTGAGATAGGACATGTGTTTGGCCAGGTTTCATGCGAGGTAGGACATGTGTTTGGCCAGGTTTCATGTGAGGTAGGACATGTGTTTGGCCAGGTTTCATGTGAGGTAGGACATGTGTTTGGCCAGGTTTCATGCGAGGTAGGACATGTGTTTGGCCAGGTTTCATGTGAGGTAGGACATGTGTTTGGCCAGGTTTCATGTGAGATAGGACATGTGTTTGGCCAGGTTTCATGTGAGGTAGGACATGTGTTTGGCCAGGTTTCATGTGAGATAGGACATGTGTTTGGCCAGGTTTCATGTGAGGTAGGACATGTGTTTGGCCAGGTTTCATGTGAGATAGGACATGTGTTTGGCCAGGTTTCATGTGAGGTAGGACATGTGTTTGGCCAGGTTTCATGTGAGATAGGACATGTGTTTGGCCAGGTTTCATGTGAGATAGGACATGTGTTTGGCCAGGTTTCATGTGAGATAGGACATGTGTTTGGCCAGGTTTCATGTGAGATAGGACATGTGTTTGGCCAGGTTTCATGTGAGATAGGACATGTGTTTGGCCAGGTTTCATGTGAGATAGGACATATGTTTGGCCAAGTTTCAAGTGAGGTAGGACACATGTTCACAGGGGATTCATTGTGTGAAGTCTACGGATGGGTATTCAATTGTAATAGACAGCTACACTAAGTTATAATGTTAATATTTCCTTTTGGTACAATATCACTTATGTTCATGAAAATATATAACTGTAAATAAACAAACGTCATGATGTGCAACATTTATAATTAATTATGTATATGACATGGGCCTTACAAATACGACTTTGTGAACGAGATTAGCAATTACAACTATCAATTCATATCTTAAACAAATATTGTCGCCAGTTAGTTTACTTTTAGATGGTCAGTCATAAACCTTTTCAAAATTCACTATGATGTCCTTCCCAAGGACATAAACAAAAGCATAAACATTACTACATTTGGGGTTAGTGGGCAAATCACAAGCTTTTGTAATGGTGACAGTGATGTTACCGAGAGTAACCAAGAGTAAACAAGAGTAACGAAGGGAAGGAGCTTGGAGGAACCCCAAGCTCCTTCCCAGCGTGTGACACCTTCGTTACACTCTCGGTAACATCGCTGCCACCAGTGTGGGCGCGGCCATTTCAAGAATCTTGAAATTTGCCCTCCAACCCCATATGTAGTAACGTTTATACTTTTGTTTATGTCTTTGGGAATGCCAACATATTTCAATTTGAAAAGGTTTACGACTGACCATGTTTTCCAGATGAATTTACTTTGTTGTTTTGATAATTAGAATGGTTCGAGATTGCAGACTAACGGAAAATAAACCAACTTCTCCCTTACATTCTTACTATATCAATAACACAATAGTTTTAATGAAACAGAAATTCAAATTGACAAACGAAGAAAGTAATTTAGCAGCGATAAGTGTATTCGGCGTCACGACAGTCGTCACTTGTTTGTAAAAATAACAGTCATTCGGTTGCGAGTTCAACTCCAAGCATGGTTGTGGCCACCTATTCACAGTGGGGAGTTTTGACTGGTGGCAGCACATAGTACTAAGTATAGAGAGCTCCGGGAACGTACTATCGCTGTGAGGAGCTTTGAGGAACCCATGCAAAGGGAGACAACTCAACAACATGAGATGTGTGTGGGAAGACACTGAGTGTCACTGGGGTGAAAGACAAATACCGGGGACCTATTCAGCACAAATTTCTGCTTCTATACACTTCAAGATGATCACCTCCATCTTATTTGAGAGTTCCTTCAGCTTCTTCTCATACATCATCTTCTTGTCGGACACAACTGCCATCAGGTTGAAGTGGATTTCATCTGTGCTGTATCTGATAAAAGAAACACACATCAAACCACACACCTGTACCTATAATTTAACAAGGATGAAATGCTCATACCCCCCACCAAAATTACTTGTCTGGCTGTGTGCAAGGCAAGAAATATTGTACAGTTTTCAAGATCTGCTCCAGAAGTGCAATTTTCAGTCTAAGTCAAAATCCTAAACTATCAAAAGGCACCAGTTCACCACTAGACCTATCTATGTGCCAAGCTTGGTTAAGATATCTCTCCTGGTTTTTTAGTTGTGCTCTGGAAACAAGATGTGACGGACAGCACCCATTCCTATATTCACCCCCTTTCACTTCGTGGAGATAATAATGTACCAGAAGCACATCAGGCCACCACTAACTTAATTTCTTGTTTTGGAGTGAGTGAGTGAGTGAGGTGAATGGGATTCAACGCACTTATACAACAAAGTTAAGGAAGAGAGAGAGAGAGAGAGAGAGAGAGAGAGAGAGAGAGAGAGAGAGAGAGAGAGAGAGAGAGAGAGAGGCATATGACTGGACACTTGGTCAGGTGAGCTAAATATTCAAGGTTGTAAGGATTGATTTGAGGCTAAACACTCTTAATTTTTTAAGAAAAGTCAAACTTAAAAAAATCAAAAGACCAAAACTGGTCTTGCCTTTAAACAAAATTCCTACCAGCATATCTGACTGTGTGACAGATGCCTATGTTTCAAAACAACCTGCTGTGTTTGTCAATCCATCTAGTGTAAGCCTATGTTAAAGTATGGGAATTATGATCATCCTAGCACTACGACTATTGTAAGTCTATGTTAAAGTATGGGAATTGTGATCATCCTAGCACTACGACTATTGTAAGCCTATGTTAAAGTATGGGAATTGTGATCATCCTAGCACTACGACTATTGTAAGCCTATGTTAAAGTATGGGAATTATGATCATCCTAGCACTACGACTATTGTAAGTCTATGTTAAAGTATGGGAATTGTGATCATCCTAGCACTACGACTATTGTAAGTCTATGTTAAAGTATGGGAGTTACGATCATCTTAGCGCAGAGACTATTGTAAGCCTATGTTAAAGTATGGGAATTATGATCATCTTAGCGCAGAGACTATTGTAAGCCTATGTTAAAGTATGGGAATTATGATCATCTTAGCGCAGAGACTATTGTAAGCCTATGTTAAAGTATGGGAATTATGATCATCTTAGCGCAGAGACTATTGTAAGCCCAATCTCATTAAAATCAGACCTTAGTTCTCGCTACCACTCAACAAAGATCTGAAGACATCCTATTAGGGGTCACAGTAGAACGACCTTTCATCCAACCAATCAGAGCGTCGCTTACCAGATTATGAAAGTGACAGTCGGAATGAGATTTCTTAGCATGCAACCTCGAAACTTTATTCTGAACGATAGTTACGGGTTTAACGACTGAATCCAAACAATCTAGCCCATCTATTAGCCATTCCAGAATGTTCTTTTGTTCAGGTTTCAAATTTGTAATCGAGAATTTGTCAAAATATGTTTTGAAGCCTAGTCGCCAATTTGAAATTAGTGCCGTAAAGCACGAGAAAGCTGCCTTCTGATTGGTCATTCCATTGGTCGGTCAAAGTTCGGGCAAGGTCGGTCTGACGTGTCTTCAGATATTTGTTGAGTGGTAGCGAGAACTAAGATCTGATTTTAATGAGATTGATTGTAAGCCTAGGTTAAAGTATGGGAGTTATGATCATCTTAGCGCTGAGACTATTGTAAGCCTAGGTTAAAGTATGGGAGTAATGATCATCTTAGCGCTGAGACTATTGTAAGCCTAGGTTAAAGTATGGGAGTTATGATCATCTTAGCGCTCACCAAGCTTCAGGAACAGCAGGCTAACATCATTACTACATTGCCCAGTCAATATTTTCATGGACAGCAGGAATCCATTCAAAAGTATCTAGACTCATGAAATCTTCTACATATGGGAATCAACAAGTTTATTAACAAATTGCGAGTTGATAACCATCTACAACCATGTGCTCCACAGTAGTGTGCTAGCAACCTACTTCTGCATCCGCTTCTCTATGACTGGTCTCACAAGGTCCAGCCAGTCGGAGTCAGCTGGTACAGCACCTGTAGGGGGGGAAAGATGAACAGTCAGTGGGATGGATCAACAGACAAGGTCAGCAGCAGATGGAGTGAGCAGAAGGAAGCTCAATGAACACTGAACAACGTCAAACTTGTTGCCATGGCAAGAGGAAAATATGAGTTTCCTAAATAGCAAAACACACCACTTCAGCCCTTGATTAATGTACCAAGCTTGGATGAAAAATGATGAATGTTTTTTTTAGTTCCACTTCAGAAACACCAACATCTGTTTCAGCTAAGTCTGACTTGTTTCCATGTAAACCAGGAAAATTCACATTTTGAATAAATCCTAAATAGCAAATGGCACCACTTTCATCTTTGGTTAATACATGTACCAGGTTTGGATAAAAAGTCTTTCATAGTTTTCAAGATTGACACCTACACCCCAACTCCCCACTTTTGAGACAAATTGTACAAAAGTACAAATTGTTTCCATGGTTATCGAGAACAATAAAAATGCCAAAAATCTGTAAATGGCAAAAGGCACCACTTCAGCATCGGTTTCATTGGTTGGTTGGTTTGTTTGTTGTTTAACGCCGCACTCAGCAATTTTCCAGCTATATGACGGCGGACTGTAAAATAATCGAGTCTGGACCAGACAATCCAGTGATGAATATCATGAGCATTGATCCACGCAATTTGGATCGATGACATGCATCAACCAAGTCAGCGAGACTGACCACCCGATCCCGTTAGTCGACTTTTACGACAAGCAAAGTCACCTTTTCACGGCAAGCATGGGTTGCTGAAGACCTATTCTACCCCAGAAACTTCACAGGGTGGATCTGTTTGATATTTCCGGAGTGTTACTCGAAAATCATTCAATATTTTTCAACAAATTGGCGGATCTGTTTGATATATCTGCCAATTTGTTGAAAAATATTGAATGATTTTCGAGTTACACTCCGGAAATGAAATGATTACGGACGGATAGACAGACAAGGCGTCAAATATATATCCCCCGCATTATATGCCAGAGGAATGATAATGGGGGTTTGGGGTTAATTGTTCTTTACACCTATAGTGTTTGAATTTAGGGTCCCCCTAAATCTTTACAAACAACCTACCTAGGTCTACTGGTCCCTCTCGCAAACCATCCAGTTCATACAGACGCCCATCAACAGGCATATAACCTACAAAATGGTAAACATCATCGTCGTGCTTTGATTGCTTCTCGTCAAATTCAAACATCTGTTGTCTGGAAGAAAACAAAAATGTTCTTCACAAGTGAGCCATTAATACAAACCAACAATGTTCTTAACTTGATGCTACCAGATATTACCAAGTATAGGCCAAGTTTTTCAGACCAAAATCATAGGGATGAACAAGGAGCTGGCCTCTTAGCACTTACGATATAAGGGTAAAGTTATTTTTCAGGGCATTATCATTTGCAGAAGCCCGAGGTCTTCCATTAACTGCCCAACGAAGGAGGGCAGTTGAATAGACCAAGGGCTTCTGCAAATGATAATGCCCTGAAAAAGAGCGTTACCGTTATTATAGCTAAAATGGATAGAATTTGTTATCAAATAAAAAGAAACAACAATATCGGTTTTGAAACATTTACTGCAGTCAACACGAATGTCACTGACCCACTTTTACAAATATGGAAACATCATAGAACAAACCAGATGACGTCACTATAATACATGTTACTTTCTCTACCCTATGATGTCACCTAACAACAGGCTTGATAATGGCCCGTCGTCAAGCAATATGAGGGCATTATCTAGTTACAGTGGCCCGCTCATTTCTGATAACGTACGGGCGGTTTGATGATAATTCTATCCATTTTAGCTATAATTCTGGTTAAATACACAGAACTGTTATTTCAACATACGACAAATCTCAAATCCTTTCATTTTCCATTCACTGTTGAAGAACGCTACACAAGGCTGCTGGTTCAGTTCGGGACTCAGCTGAGTTGAGCACCTGTTATCATAGTTATCCATCTTGTATTTACCTTGCAAAACTATTGTGTACAGCTCGTATAACATCGGAGTTACTGAGACTTAAACCTCGTAGCTGGAAAAGAAACAATTGAAATAAGAAGTCATAATTATATCGGTAATATTTGTGCAATAAATGGTACACATATAATGTACTGATATAAAAGGGACAATCAAAACAGGGTTTCACATAGCCTTGTAAACATATATATATATTTTTTGTGGGTGGGTGAGTGTCATTTTCTAAATCTGAGAATCAAATTCCCAGTTTCTATTTTATGAAAGTTACATCAGTCTAATTTGATTCTGCAAGTTTGTCAATTTGTATCACTTAAAACACCTAGCGGAGTAGTGGTCAGTATTTAAAACAAAATATCGGAAATACTCAGTCTGAATTTAGATTTTCTTGGTGAATTTATTGCGTCAGTTATGACTCATCTCATATCAAAACATTTGGGAGTATTTCTGGAAATTATTGTGTGAAATACACAGTAAGTGTCACGTAAAACCCTGTCATAAGCAGAACATCAGTAACCAATCATATAATGTTAGCGGGGGGAAAGACATGGGATTTTCATTTGAGTTTATTCTTTAAATCAAGCAACTTTTTTTTTCTGTAATAGGAGCAATTAATAGTACAAACAATCTATATGTACTGTTTGGGTATACAATCTATATGTACTGTTTGGGTATACAATCTATATGTACTGTTTGGGTATACAATCTATATGTACTGTTTGGGTATACAATCAATATGTACTGTTTGGGTATACAATCTATATGTACTGTTTGGGTATAGTGAGTGAGTATGGTTTTACGCCGCTTTTAGCAATATTCCAGCAATATCACGGCGGGGGACACCAGAAATGGGCTTCACACATTGTACCCATGTCGGGAATCGAACCCGGGTCTTCGGCGTGACGAGCGAACGCTTTAACCACTAGGCTACCCAACCGCCCCTGTTTGGGTATACAATCTATATGTACTGTTTGGGTATACAATCTATATGTACTGTTTGGGTATACAATCAATATGTACTGTTTGGGTATGAAAACGTGCCACCAGCCAGTTAACACATGTTTGTTTGTTGTTTAGCACTGCACTCAGCAATACTGCAGTTATATGACAGTGGTCTGTTAATAATCAAGTCTGGACCACACAATCCAATGACAGATCTACCTCAATAGGGATACGAAGTCAGTGAGCCACCCGACCTGTTTACGTTAGTCGCCTCTTAAGACAAGCATGGGTTGCTGAAGACCAATTCTAACCCGGATCTTCAAACATTGTAACTATTCCAATTAGTCAGTTGTTTTGACCAGCAAGGAGTGCTGGGGACTTGTTCTGGCTCCCAAACACAACAGGCGATACTGAAGTAGCTGACACTCACTGCAGGATCAAATGACTGGGCAAATTCCTTAAATGATCCCAAGGTGTCCCCGAGTTCGACATCTGCGTGATGGGTGTTGAGTAGGATGCTCAGAATAGCTTGGGTAGCACATGCATTGTTGATAACCTGAAACAATATAATAAAGTGTGTCAATGTCATGCACGACTTTCATATTATCATTAAGGATTTGTTTGTTTGTTGTTTAACGCCACACACAGCAATATTCCAGCCATATTGCGGCGGTCTGTAAATAGCCTGGACCAGAGAATCCAGTAATTGACATCATGAGCATCAATCCATGCAATTGGGATACGATAACATGCATCAACCAAGACAGCAAGCTTGACCACCCGATCCTGTTACGACCAGCAAGGGTTGCTGAAGACCTATTCTACCCCGGATCTTCACGGGTCTTATCATTAAGGAAGCAATACAGTGATTGAGTGAATGGGGTTTCATATACTCCAGACCAACTCAGAAACCGATAATCAGGGCCAAGTCTGCTGCAAATGTCAGTTAACATTTCAAAACTATTGGCCACGAAGGTGTGCAATTCTCCCGAGGTGAACATAATTTGTGATGTGGGATATGCTCTACATTTATCATGTTTTGATCCAACACGATTTGTGATTAAACTCTTATTCACCACACTGAAACTTCACCACTTCAGGCGACAACTGACTTCACACATTTCTGGTTTGGAAAAACACATGCCCAATGCAAGTAAACTGTGAAACAGAAAGTCCTATGCCTCTCACTTTCCTGAGGCAAGAGTGTCGACTAGCCCAAATCAAGGTCTAGCTGAATTCAAGGCTATTTATAAAAATTTAAGCCCTCTTAAAGAGCAGACTGTCAAATGATAACGCCCCAAGATGAGTGAGTGAGTGAGTTTGGTTTTACGCCGCTTTTAGCAATATTCCAGCAATATCACGGCAGGGTACACCAGAAATGGGCTTCACACATTGTACCCATGTCGGGTCTTCAGCATGACGAGTGAAGGCTTTAACCACTAGGCTACCCGACCGCCCCGCCCCAAGATGAACTGTAATCATGTGGCTGGTTGGTTGGTTTGTTGTTTAACGCCGCACTCAGCAATATTCCAGCTATATGATGGCGGTCTGTAAATAATCAAGTCTGGACCAGACAATCCAGTGATTGATATCACGAGCATCGATCCACGCAATTCGGATCGATGACATGCATCAACCAAGTCAGCGAGCCTGACCACCCGATCCCGTTAGTTGCCTTTTACGACAAGCATAGTCGCCTTTTACGGCAAGCATGGGTTGCTGAAGACCTATTCTGTGACAATGTACATTCTGCAAGCACAGAGTGGCACTGAGTGTAATTCGGATACAAGGCTGATATTTCTAGCTACAAGCACCTGTTTGGCAAAGAAGATCTTGTCCAGCCTGCTGTCCTGCACAACACTGCCCTCAGGGTCCTTGTCTGGCCCCCACTTGAACAGGAAGATGAGGCCATGCACCGGTCTGGGGGAGACAAATACAACACTCAGCACCGGAGGTCTACCAGGGTTAAATAGCAGATGTTTTCTCCATATCCATCAACCACTAGTGAGAAATGAGCTGTGGACTAGTGGGATGCGACCATTGGAGTCAATACTTTATGTTTCAAGTAGTGTTGACAATTAACAGAAACCTGCAAGTAATTAGCTTGTCCGAAAAGTCTAGATGTTATTGCGACTCTCTGTTAACCATGTTAACATGCTTAAACACACTGTTAAAGTTTAATCATTTATGACTGAACTGAAACATAAAAAATTAAAACACAACTTTTGATATACACATGATACCTAATATACATGTAGTTGTCTTTTTCAAAACAAAATTATCTGCAAATATTAGGAAAATTACTATGGTGAACTTAGGTGCAAGAGTTCTCATATATTGCGCGTAGCATTGTCCTGTTTTCATTCATTTTTTTATCTTCAGTTATAGGCACTATTCCAAGTTAATTTGTGTATAACATTTGTGTTTACGTGAGTAACAACTTAATAGACGTAGGGATTATGTTTATTTGCCGTAAATTACCTTAAGTTTGTATTTCGATGACGGACTGTGCAGAGCGTCATGCCAGTCTACTGGTCCTCACAAGTTTGTGATCATGACGTCATCGATATTTGTGTTCCCTCGGTTACATTACAATTATTGCATAAAGTGCCGTATTTTAATTTCCTTTACTTCAGTCAGTTTCTTAATATTTTATATTAGTCGTATACTTTTTGTTATAATATAATATCAAAGTTTATATTCGTTCAATGACCAGCTGTGACGTCACGTTTTGTTTACCGTTAAGAGTCAATCAGCTGGTTGCATCTTCCCAAGGCAAGAGTGTTAACTGACTTTAAAAGTCCAGTTTCCATCCTTGCCGAACTAGGCTGGAATTCCTGGGCTCGATCGTAGCGCCACCAGTGGCTATTACGAGTTATGTTCTTTCTATGCCTCTCCTATTGACCAATCAGATTCAACCTCTCGTATCACTTGCATTTGCTTCAAACAAAACGGTGGCGCCCAGTCAAGATATGATCGATAATCAAGATCTATATTGTGATAAAACGAGTCTTACATCACGAAGTGCATCAAATAATCTGAGCACCTTGATTAAAAACATGAAAAGATTTAGAAAATATCTGTTGACAACAAGTTAGCGGTGCACATGCTTTGCAAATCCTGCAGTCAACCGAAATCTGCATGACACTTTACGAACCGGATTTCGCTGGCAATTTTGTTTGGACTATGCATAGACTCGTTAGTCCAGCCAAAATGTAACCCCATAATCCCAGCCTAGTTCAGCAAGGGTGGAAACTGGACTTTTATAGTCAGTTAACACACTTGCCTCGGGAACATGGCTGGTTGTGACATCATTGCTTTCTTTTACGGTTAGATCAGTTAGATTGAGATGAGGAGTCAATGCAGTCAGTCGCATGATATTGTAAGAATGTATTAACACGCTGCCACAAATTCATATTTGGTACTGTTTGAGATAATACATTGTATACTTATTAAGTAATAAAGTATACATATATATATATATATATCTTTATTAATATAATTTGAGTGTTTGATTCATGTAAATAAATTACAGTATTATTGTTGAACAAAGATATCCTGTTCTGTGATTATTTGGAAAAGGCGAACTGTGACATGTCCAAATAAGTGAACCCCCCCAGATCCGTCACAGTGAGTATATAAAAATGCACTTTCTATGATTGTGTTAACTTTTACCAAAATGAAAAATATATTTTGTGGATTGAGTGAGTTGGGTTTTACGCTGCTTTTAACAGTATTCCAGTAATATCACAGCGTGTCAGCTTAATGTGGGAGGAAAGCCCTAAGTGAAGCAGTTGAGGTGAGGTGAAATGGGGTTTAATGTCGCGTCCAAGATTATTGCACTTATATAGCGACGTGCATGCACGTGTATGTGTGTGGCTGCTTGTACTAGTCCGGACTGATGCCGATTTATAGTGCTAGCACACTGAGATACCATGCCGCAGTTAAACATGAATAACCAACTCAGACACACTATACTGACTCAGAGCCGACCAGTCCTTGTTTTAGCCCCTTAATGTCGAGTGCCAGACAGGGTACCATCTTTTAACGTCTTTTGGTATGACGCGGCTGGGGATCGAACCCCAGACCTTCCGCTCTCCGGGCGGACGCTCTACCATTAGACCATAGAGGCTGTCAAGTGAAGCAGGTCTCAGACATTTACCACTTTGGTGAAACCCACGAGCACGAGTATGGTGCTGACAAACTTAGAACCTTAATCAGGACAAACCAACAATCATAGGATTCTGGCATACTCAAGGGATGCAACTCTGCACAGCTAATTGAGGTGCCTTAGACGACTTGGCCATTTGTTGCCTTTACTTTGTGGACACTATGTGAATTTCCAGATCACTTAAACAGTAACATTGATGAATAATCTTTTCCTATTTAAAAAGAATGCTTCAAACATGTCAAGTCAGAATATAAACAGTAGAATACACAGTGTTATGTGTTAAGTTTGTAACAATTGTCAGTGGCAACAAAAGTTCGAGCCATTGACTATATCAAAAACAAAAGTTTCAATGTAACTTTTATTGATAATTCATTGACCTCAAGTTGTTATTTACCGATTTCACAATTTTAGTTCTGTATGTAGCGACTTCTACCTTAACCATATGCATTATATTTTTGAAATCCCCTCACAACAGTTCAATAAAAATATGAGCCAAATAATATGTGGAATCAAGTGTAGTTTCATTTGATTTTCTCAGTTCTAGTCTAGTAGACAAAGGTTCTGCTGGCCATGTTAACTAGCTTGACTCAAAGTATCACCAAACATACGCAGCTTCAAAGAAGACATTTTTAAATTTTGGTCCCATCAAAAACAAGACTATGGAAACATCTGGTAAACATTGCATTTTTCCTCTCTCACTTTCCCATGCACTGGGAATGAGTTTGTCTTATCACTTTTTTGAACAGTTCAGTTTAATATATATATACTCGGACCCCGTGGTACCGCGGCATTCATCGTATCGGCATTTGTGATTTCCGGTAGTTCATGCGGGACACGCCTCTTAGCGGCTGTCTATTAATGCAAATCAGTAACCAGGAAATGCTCACTCCGTAAACAGTTTCAATTTCTTCGGAATATTCCGTCTGCTGTAAGTAAGGAGTTATTAATGCGTTGATACTTACTTCTGGCATATTTTTCAATATTGCCTTAACCCCATCTATTAATGGCCAACGATATAACCCGCAGTTCCCCAAGTAAACTTTCTCTATCGACCTGAACTAGATCATCTGCATATTCATGGCGACTAATAAGGTAACGGAAGTTACGTAGTCCGCACATTTTTTCCCGCTCTGTGCCGAGAATCTATTGGGAGATCATAAGGGCCATAATGCCAAACTTAGAAATACGTTCTTCACTAGTAGCCAAAAGATAAATACATACTTTGGGCATACTAGCAGTGCTTTTTATATATTTATTGTTGACTTTCAACATTTTTCCATTATGTGATAAATTATTGTCATCCAATTTTTTTTAAAAACAATCTTAGAATATCATTTCTTATATTTTGTTGTTGATTTTTAAAATATTCTTCTCTTACTTTTCGGTAAATATGCATTGAATACCTATTACTGATAACACATTTAGAATTTTACTTGTGCTGTCTTTGCACTTGTCTGGACAAATCACTGATGTCTGGCATGATCATACCAAGTGGTTGGTAGAATTATGTCCTCTTTTTGTCCAATTCGGACCTCCATACACAACTTTTCTCTGTACCGCGATATGATGGAGTTCTCTCCCTTGTCAAACTGAGCGCGAGGCCCGGCTTTTACTTGGAGCTACTAATGTAAATAATGAACTTTTGTCAGTAAAATATGCATTGTTAGATAAAATTAATGATATCTGATATGGAGAACATGAATAATCATAAAGGTTAGTGAGTGCATTTTGTTCCGTTTAGCATACATGACAAGTACTGCGATACCCCGAGGTTGCAGGCTATATTGACCACTCTGGATCATGACTGGGAAACTGAAACCAAGGATCATCAGTTCCTGGCATGGCAAAGGGATGCAACTCTGTAAAGCAGAGAGTGAGTGATGCATACACATTATTGGCGGCATGAAGAACAAACACAGGGTCTGCTGCAGGACTAAACTTACTTTAGGTTCTTGAAGCTGTCACTGTCCAGACTCCATATCTCCTCCACCTGCACTCCCTTACAACCTGAAACAGACGTACACGCTGAGTGAGGCGGTTCTCCCATGGCAGGGCTCGATCTAAGGAACTTAACCTTGCACCAGGTGCATGATGACATGTAAAGCTTGTTGCACCAGACAAAATCAGGTTGCATCATGTCCAATAATTTTGTCAAAGTTGAAACAGATGCACTAACTAGTAGAAACAAGTACAACTTCAGATCTCTTATGGAGGGTTTTATGTGTCTCACAAATATGCGTCCAGTATGCACAATGGAGCCCCACTTTTTTAAGTCTAGTTTTTCCCTGCTTATGACTGTGAATTGCACATAACACAGTGATTAGTGATGTAGTATTGTAAATAAAGCTCAGATGTATTAACAGTCAGGGTGGCCTCTTTGGGATGTGGATTTTCAATTCCTACTGCAGGACCCAGTTTTTCGCGTGCGTGGGCAAAGTCACTGAAGCGTGTGTAAAAGGACTTTGAATATCCTGTGTATTGGTGTCACTTCACCGTTAGCAATGGTTAGCGCTTGGTTGATTCCCGGCCTTCATTACCACCAGGAGGCTCGTTTAGCATGATTAAGGGTGTTCAAAGACCCAGGCCTCAAAGTTTAAATTTTTACCAAGTAGCCATGTGGCTACCGTTATTTTTTTTTTCCAGGTAGCCAGTGGTAAAATCAAGAAGTCAAGCCAATATTGTAGGTAGCCAAAAGCATTTGAAATTATCTTTTATCAAGTAACTATTATAATATGTACAAGTTATAGCACTAGTCTTGGAATTGTATAATGGTGGAAACTGTACTTGAGTTTTCTTATTTGTGACTCAAACAATGATGCAATTTATGTTAATAGATTATATAAGTATATTCTTGCTTATCCAATAAACTATCAACTTAAATAAAACACTAATTACATTAATATTTATATATTTCGGTTCATTGTTGACTTTAGACAGTAACCACTTTGGTGAAACCCACAAGCATGGGTATGGCACTGAGTAAACCTAGAAAAATAATCAGGGTAAACTAGGATTCAAACCCACAATGATAGTTTTCTGGCATGCCAAAGGGACAACTCTCACTACCTATGTCCCCACAAGCCCAAATTAATATGAGGACATAAACAAAGCCAGAATAAATTTATGGGACTAGGGTGCAACCTGGTTTAGTCTGGAGCAACAAGCTTTCCATGTCAACATGCACCTGGTGCAGGTTAAATCAAAATCCTTAAATTTAGCAGGGTGAACAAATTGTTGTTTGTTTGTTGAACGCCGCACTAAGCAATATTCCAGCTATATGACGGCGGTCTGTAAATAATCGAGTCTGGACCAGACAATCCAGTGATTGATATCACGAGCATCGAACCACGCAATTGGGATCGATGACATGCATTAACTAAGTCAGCGAGCCTGACTACCTGATCCCATTAGAGGCCTTTTACGGCAAGCATGGGTTGCTTAAGACCTATTCTACCCCAGATCTACAGGGGTCTGGCCAAACCAAGAAGTGATCACATGACTGTCTATAGAAATGCATACTGACTCCATTCCAGGTCCGATAATTAACAATATTTACTTGAGTTACTAAAAATAGCAGAAAAACCCAAGGACTAGGTTATCCCTTGATTTCAGCCAATCAGATGTCTCCTTTGGCGGAGACCACAGCTCAGTCATGATGATCCTAACAACTAAAAACATTGGTGTCCTCTGTCCATATCAGCGGTAGAAAATAACAGTTTTACTCCGCTAGTCCTTATAATGATAACACCTTAAAAAACCCTTAAAATGGCAAATGTCTACTAGTCCTTAGGATACCTTAACTATTGGGCAGTTTGGCAAGGACTAAAGAACCAGTGCCAACTTCTAACACTGCATATTTTATATCTCGGGTCTACAGAAACAGTTATTGACCACCTGAAAAAGTCTATAATTGCATAATTATGTGCATATTAATAATGCCCCAAATCCACACCCCAAAGCATGCTCAAAGCACTACTGATTCAGTGGATCAGTGTGCACTCAAGATTCATTCTCATCACCCTTGGGAGTATAAAACTCAGCTCATCCTTCCTAGTACCCATTCATTGCCAGGTGCATGAGGTGAGCAGAGGCATATTTCGAAGTCACTTCAAGGAGACACCACATTTACTGCATGTTGTCAGAGCTCCAGATAAGCTGCGTATCTGCGTAAAATACGCATCAGAAATGCAGAAATACAGAGTAAAATAAAATCCAAGTGAATCAAATACTCAACGAACATTACAGATAAGCTACAAAAATAAAACTTGTGTGTATCATCAAAATATTGTGAAGTAACCCTGCGTATTCGATTAGCAAATCAGCAACTTATTTTGAAATTATAAACGGGCATTCTGTCAAACTCCACGATGACAGCTACATCACGATCATTTGCCATCACACTTTCTTGTGGAAGTATCGTGGTATTTTTGAGTCCTACCATGACAAAGCTCTCGAACCCACACGACACCAGTTTGCAGGGACTAGATGAATAGTGTTTTTAAATATTTAACTTAAATACCCACATGTGTTAAAAAACGTGCCGTAGTGGGTAACAGAAATTTGAATACCCAGATAGAATTACTGATACCCAATGATTTTAAAATGCATAGCTAAAATACCCACAACACCAAAAGCTTATCTGTAGCTCTGCGTTGTTCAAGATTATTGCACATACATAACAACGTGCAAGCTTCTGTGTGGCTGCTTGTAATTGCCCAGACCAAAGACGTATATACAATGTATGTATGTACGTCCGTGCCCAGACTAATGTGTGTAAAATCATTAGAAAATGAAATAGTTGTAACCTAGATTTTTCCATAGAGCTGACGCATTGTTTCCAGATTCAGGTCAAGTGCACAACACCAACCAAATACATTGTAAACGTAAATTTAGCCGTCAATTGACACTGATGAAAACTGACAAGCGTTAAAAGGCTAGAACCATAGAAAAATATGTGCCATAAAAATTACTTGTCACTGAGAAATGTGAAGAAAAACGGGTGAGCGTGTGCGACATATTAACTCGAACGGGTCCCAAATTTACGAAAACTAATGCATAAATATATGATAAAGAAAACTCAATATACCAAATCCTCGTATTAATTCTGTGAAAACCCCTGGATCACTTTCAATAAGACACCAGTCTCCCGCGCTGGTAGCCATGCTTGTTTAGCTTCCGGTACTCATGCGTACGAGCCATTTAGCCACTTCCTGTAACCGCTTAGCCTCGTTTATCCGATCAGAGAGTATATGATTTGAAGCGCCGTAAAAGCATGAAGATTCTACAAGGATATGCAGCAGTCGCTTAGTTTAATTTGACTGAGTGAGCGAATAATGCTGGTTTTTTTTATCGCATTCGATATATTTCAGCTTCATCATGCCGACCTGTAAATATTCGAAAAAGGGCCAGGCAAACTAGTTGCTGACAGAAGCAACGATCCACGCCATCAGGGCACGAACCCACACAATCAGTCAGCGAATTGTCCAAAAGTCGTGTCGGGCCAGCGGTTAATACTAATACATGATGTGTTGAAACGTGAAACTTATTTTTCTGAATATGGTATCGATGCATTGGAAACAACTTGTAAGTTCTTACTTATAAATTTTACATTTTACTTGAGGTTTTACGAGCAGTAGCTTTGAAGGTATTTCTTTTTGCATCTTTCCGGGATATCATTCTACCCTGACTGACATTGGTTGGTTGGTAGGGTTGCGACCGGGTACGAAAACAACTCGAGTACCCGGCAGACAATACCCGAACCGGACTCGAGTACCCGTAGTTCAATGTTGTCCCACTTGTTTGTAATGCTTTTGCGAATAAAAGGTCATCAAACATCTATTGATCTATTCTAAGGTATTATGTTTTTTATTAAATGCCTGTATGGCTTACCTAAAACATTTGAACGTTTGTCCGCTTTGTCGTCCATTTTGAAGTGACTTACGAGTTACGAAAGGCGATTAGAGTTATCTCCCCTGAACGGGTACTCGAGTCCTGAAAATTGGACTCTAGTCCTAAGCTACCCGACCCGTTATCGGGTACTCGAGTACCCGCCGCAACCCTATTGGTTGGTTGGTTGGTTTGTTGTTTAACGCCGCACTCAACAATATTCCAGCTATATGGCGGCGGTCTGTAAATAATCGAGTCTGGGCCAGACAATGCAGTGATTGATATCATGAGCATCGATCCACGCAATTGGGATCGATGACATGCTTCAACCAAGTCAGCGAGCCTGACCACCCGATCCCGTTAGTCGCCTTTTACGACAAGCATGGGTTGCTGAAGACCTGTTCTACCCCGGAATCTTCACGGGTGCCCTGACTGACAGGGCAGTGGGATAGACTTGTGGTGAAAGCGTTCCCTCGTCACGCGAAGTCCTGGGTTCGATTCACTACATCGGTATAATGTACATGTGTGAATCCCATTTCTGGTGTCCCCCGTCGTGATATTGCTGGAATATTGCCAAAAGCGGAGTAAAACCATACTCACCTCACTCACTCTGAATGACATTGAATTGAGGCAAACGAGACAGCCACATACACACTTTGATATACTGTGATATACACGGGTGGTCCAGTCGTCCATTCGCTGTGCAGAATTGCGTCTCCTGGGCACGCTAGAAATCTATGATCGTGGGTTCGAATTCAGGTTCACTCCGATTATGTTTTAAGGTCAATGAGCACCATGCCCGTGGGTTTCACTGAAGTGGTCAACGTCTGAGATCTGCACCACTCCGGGCTTTCCTTCCACATTATAGTGCAGCCGTTTGGCCATTGACCAATTGTGCATTTCGTGATAAAATCACGAAACTAGGCAATATTTTCAGATATGGGGCCATGTAGCAATGATATTTTAGTTTATTTCATGTGAACATGACCCACAGCCAACATATATAACGAACAATTAACATTTTGCTATGTATTTACCCAATACTACATCTGTAAAGTAAATAACTTTATCATAATAGACTATCTTGATGAACTGCTTAATTTGTCGTTCATTAATTTGAACAATCCAACAAGAAAATTCGGGTATTTCTGTTAGAGGCCATACGTGAGTGAGTATGGTTTTACGCCGCTTTTAGCAATATTCCAGCAATATCACGGCGGGGGACACCAGAAATGGACTTCACACATTGTACGCATGTCGGGAATCGAACCCGGGTCTTCGGCGTGACAAACGAACGATTTAAACACTAGGCTACCCGAAAGCCCCTACTTAGGAGAGAGTGGAAATGAAGCTTACATAGAAGCTATGGATTCCTTACAACTACACGTTACTGTGTCAGCTAGTACACACATCCAATTAAGGTACTTCTAACAAAGTGGACTGAACGAAGAATATTATTAGGTTGAAGGTGTCTTGGGAAGCCAAGGCGGACCAAATACTTTAACAGATTATGGAGGGAATAGGGATTCACTTCAGCCAAACTGTTTGCTCTAGGTACAATGAACTATGACATTGTGATGTGCTGTTTGGGTGGATCTAAAAGTCTTCTATAGATTGAACGCATTTCACGATACATATGTCACGTAAAGTTGTCAGATTACCCTGCAAGACATAACGACAACAAGACTCGTACGTTGTGTGGAGGATATTGCCATCACGCCTTTGTAATAAAAACCGTGATTCATCACCGTAATCGCCTCCAATGTCGCAGATTCCAGATATGAACGTGTGTACACCAACGAACGCGTTGAAGGTGATGATCACGTCGTAGGACGCAGCCAAAGTAAGGTCTCCTGGCTCTTAATCCAACCTGGCGAAGCCGACTCCGTACAGTCTGGGTGGATATCGTTCGTAGTCCTGGTACGTTGGCAGCACTGTGTTCGGTCGTGACAGTCCGACCACGTAAATGCAGCCTGTCATATGTTCGAGTGAAGTTTTATTTGGTCATGATAGAATGGAGATAAACATACTGTGTAGAGCTTGGTTACCTGTAGATTTAACCGCGCTAAATGTAACATTTGAGTGAGTGAGTGAATACGGTTTTACGCCGCTTTTAGCAATATTCCAGCAATATCACGGCGGGGGACACCAGAAATGGGCTTCACACATTGTACCCATGTCGGGAATCGAACCCGGGTCTTCGGCGTGACGAGCGAACGCTTTAACCACTAGGCTACCCGACCGCCCCTGTAACATTTGAAACCTCACGCTGCGCGTTCGGTTCCAAATTCAATTTAGCGGTGTTAAATCTACAGGTAACCTAGCTCCACATTGAAAACACAGTATGTTTATCTCCTAAACAAACAAACAAACAAAGCTGCCTAGTGCGAAACCGGCAACACCGGGAGCGCTCGTTAAATCTCCAACATCATCATCATCATCATCATCATCATCAAAACTGCTGGTGTCACAATAATGCTTAGACAAATTTAACTATGTGAGGTGAGGTTCCATTATGTTCGAATTGCATGTGTTTAAAAATGGATGTAACTGCGCGAAACAGCAAAAATACAACGTGAGAACATCGAATATATTAGGCCTAGAGGATACTTGGCTAATTTTGTGAAATCACACGTGGATTGTGTTATTGGCTGACGAGTGAAAGTGCCAACTGGATCAGGTCAACGAGATGAGGTAAACCTTGTTTTATAACCGTGTTCTTCTGTGTTATTTACGCATTTTTCCACTGATGTAATGAGCTGGGAAACTATAAGAGTATGTCCGGTTGAAAGTAACGCAGTTATAAATGAAAGTGGTATTTTACTCTGCATAACATGTCATTTGCCTATAAGACTAATAATTATAAATTTTCATATAGATAATATTTTCAGACCGAATATACAATGACTCAGCAATATTCCAGCTATATGACGGCGGTCTGTAAATAATCGAGTCTGGACCAGACAATCCAGTAATTGACATCATGAGCATCGATCCACGCAATTGGGATCGATGACATGCATCAACCAAGTCAGCGAGCCTGACCATCCGATCCCGTTAGTCGCCTCTTACGACAAGCATAGTCGCCTTTTACGGCAAGCATTGGTTGCTGAAGACCTATTCTACCCCGGATCTTCACGGGTCGTTGATGCATGTCATCGTATCCAAAATTGAGGAGGCACGTGTGGCCAAGCCGTCTAAGGCGCCGCGATTCGCTGTGCAGAGGTGCGTCCCTTGGGCACGCCAGAAACTTATGATTGTGGGTTCGAAGAAGAAGGTTGGCTTTGTTTGATAGCCAAGCCCTTTGCCAGGACAGAAGCAAGGAGATGACTTTCGGAAGAATGGTCTCTAGGGTTGCGCTCCTGACCACCCGATCCCGTTAGTCGCTTCTTAGGACAAGCTTAGTCGAAGTAAGTAGGCACATGGGTTTAACCAATATCGTAACTGAGCTCTTTCCTCCAACACTAAGTTGACAGGCCTTGCTAAAACCGGACTACTGTTCAGTTAGCGTTAAATGCAATGCCGATCTTGTAGCCTTGTGGTCAAGCGTTCGCTCGTCATGCCGAAGACACGGGTTCGATTCCCGACATGAGTACAATGTATGAAGCCCATTTCTGGTGTCCCCCGCGGGGATTTATTGCTGGAATATTGCTCAAAGCGGCGTAAAATAATACTCACTCAACCACTATTCTTGCATATTCTGAGTGAGTTGGGTTTAACGACGCTTTTAATAGTATTCTAGTTATATCGGTCCGGGGTTCGATCCCCGGCCTCGTCATACCAAAAGACGTTAAAAGATGGTACTTGTTGTTACCCTGTCTGGCGCTCGGCAATAAGGGGCTAAAACAAGGTCTGGTCGGCTCGGAGTCAGCATACTGTGTCTGAGTGGGGTATTCATGTTAAACTGCGGCATGGTATCTCAGTGAGCTAGCACTATAAATCGGCATCAGTCCGGACTAGTACAAGCAGCGACACACACACACACACACACATGCATGCACGTCGCTATATAAGTGTAATAATCTTGGACGCGACGTTAAACCCAATTTCACCTCACCTCATCTAGTCAGCTTGATACTGGAGGAAAGACCGCAGTGATGCAGGTTTCAGACGTGTAGGTTTGATTTGGTTGGTTTGTTGTTTAACGCCGCACTCGGCAATATTCCAGCTATATGACAGCGGTCTGTAAATAATCGAGTCCTGACCAGACAATCCAGTGATTGACATCATGGGCATCGATCCACGCAATAAGGATACTATGACATGCATCAACCAATCAACCAAGTCAGCGAGCCTGGCCACCCGATCCCGTTAGCCGCCTCTTATGACAAGCATGGGTTGCTGAAGAGCAAATCTCACCCGGATCCTTACGGGTTTACCACTTTGGTGAAACCCAATGGTGCTGACAAACATAAGCAACATAATCGGGGTTGCATATTCGGATATACTCAAAATCTTTGACTGGTAATAACAAAAAAACAAAAGAAACTTTTATTCTGAATAGGTTTTATTCAACTCTGTGTAAGTCATGGCGAAGAAAATAGGTCCAATATAAACATGGTTTTTTTTATGTACACAATAAATAAGCAGAAAATATCCACCCTTCGCACACCCTTAATCTACCCAACGCACATTCTAAGAGCGGAGAATGGGCAATTCATAAAAGAGACACCTCGTCAAACGATTCGTGAAACCCATTTACGTACACATCTTCAACACACACGCTGCATCCTCTGCACCAAATACGCCATTTAACTTCAACAAAACACGTGTTGTGTTATTACACAAGCATCAATCACATGTAACACAGTAACACAATGTGTGGAGATAATAACATAAATACATAATAAAAAACAAAAAAATGTCTGGGTTGAACAGAGTGTTTCTGTATAATCAATTTATTATTCCCCTGGCTTTATTTTGAAACTGGAATAAACGGAGGATAACTGATATTGTGATCATTCTTATCACTCATATGAGGTGAGGTGAAATGGGGTTTACGTCGCGTTCAAGATTATTGCACTTATATAGCGACGTGCATGCACGTGTGTGTGTGTGTGTGTGTGTGTGTGTGTGCTTGTACTAGTCCGGACTGATGCCGATTTATAGTGCTAGCCCACTGAGATACCATGCCGCAGTTAAACATGAATACCCAACTCAGACACAGTATACTGACTCCGAGCCGACCAGTCCTTGATTTAGCCCCTTAACGCCGAGCGCCAGACAGGGTAACAACAAGTACCACCTTTTAACGTCTTTTGGTATGACGCGGCCGGGGATCGAACCCCTGACCTTCCGCTCTCCGGGCGGACGATCTACCACTAGACAACGGAGGCGGTCTTACTCATATGAGAGTGTGGTAGGTTTGACGCATCCTTGAGCAGTATATGTCACGGCGTGTCAGCTTTATGTGTGTGTGTGTGTGTTGGGGGGGGGGGGAGCCCGAAGTGATGCAGATGTTTGAAATTTACCACTTTGGTGAAACCAACGAGCACAGGTATGGTGATGACAAACCTTGAAATAAAATACAGGGAGAACCGGGATTCGAACCCATGATCATAAGTTTCTGTGACGCCGAACGGAAGCAACTCACAATAGCGACTTGCGGCGCCTTAAACGACAACCGGTAGCCAACCACCTATATGTGTAAAGATACATATTTATTCAGTTATTGCACAGAAGCCAGCAGTCCCGCCTTCCCGACTGTGCCGCACTATCATAACGATGCAAACATAATGACGTCCATAACATTGTATAAATCATTGGAATGGACGTTTCAAAACTTCATGTGATGTGATGTGATGTGATGTGATGTCATATATATATATATTTATATAAATGAAAACATGGGAAACCATCCATATATGTACCAGCGAATGTTTCCTGTGACGTTTTCTTCCTTAGATATTGAGTGAGTGAGTGAGTGAGTTGGGTTTAACGCCGCTTTTAACAGTATTCCAGTTATATCGCGGCGTGTCAGCTTGATGTGGGAGGAAAGCCCGAAGTGATGCAGGTCTCAGACGTTTATCACTTCGGTGAAACCCACGAGCACGGGTATGGTGCTGACAAACCTAGAAACATAATCGGGGCGAACCGGGATTCGAACCCATTAGATATTGAATAAGAATCAGATACAAATGTAGCCAGTGTTTTGGACCCCAATACATTACTAACAACATCAGCAACCTCAATGTACAAGCCGATGCTTGGTATATATGAGTGACTGGGTGATTAAGGTTTTACGCAGCTTTAAGCAATATTCCGGCCTCTACACGTCGGGGGACAAAAAATGGGTGGTATATACTTGCCGAGGAGACCATATGATGGGACAGGACTATCTCAAACTCGCGTACATCCAACATACATATCATATCACTTCACACGCACGTTATGTTATATTTACACCTGATGCATGCAACTATAAGTGCTTGTTGTTTTACGCCGCAGTCAACAATATTCCGGTTTTATCATGGCGGTCTGTAAATAATCGGGTCTGATCAAACCAGTGGTTGATATTACCTCCAACGTCCGGGGCCGCCGGATCGATGCGATGTTACCAGACACACAGGCTGACTCTCCGATAGAATTAATTCGCCTTTTAGGACCAGCACAGGGGACAAGGGATCTATTCTAACCCAAGTCACCATGAGGGACTGAAATGCACAGTTGTTTGTACATGTTTAAATTTTGAAGGGTAAAGATAATGTATTTGTAGACATGCAGTCTACGAAATCTTTTAGTAAAACAATACATTTCTCTCCTCTGATATTATTTTCTTCCTGGAGCTGATTTTAAGTGCTTAGATCTGGTAAGACTTGCTTTTTCATAATCTACACCGGATGGGTTTCATAAAATACATATTCCAGTCGTGGCGCAGGACCACCCTTTTTGTTGTGCCGTCATATCTTGCCCAACGTCTCTTGGACATTAAATATATTAAAAATCATTAAAATTTATGAAGTGATTGAAAAATGTGTCATGACTTGGTTACCGTTTCGAGAAAAATATTTGTTCGCTGTGGGTTAAAATATTAGTTATGTTTAGCCTTCCTTGTCTCGCTGGAAAATCGAGCCTTAGTACCCTCTTCAAGACGATTCAACCATATAAAGAAGCAAACACTCGCCGCAACCGTAACGACTTAGCATTCATACCATTAGACAACAAAATAAGTATTCTGAACAGGATAATTCCCATGGTTAATATTCTCTGTCACGTGTGTGTATTTATTAACATTCGTATCTGAAATATGACCTCTAATTTCATTATTAGACCATAAAACACATTTAGTGTTGGTGTACAAATGATACCAACAGGTTGGATTTTTTTTTTAAAAAAAACATATAAAAATACATGCATACATGCATCCATAATTCCGGATAGATTTACTTGGTATTTACGATCCACATCAAAGCGTACGACACAATCATTTAGCTTCACTGTAAGAAAACATGAATAATACCAGGTTACTACTGTGAAAGACAAAAATGTGGAATGTACGACAATGCTCGTTGCCACGGTAACATCAACGCACATCATCGAGTTATCTCCCTTCGACACAAGCTGAAGTTTGCATGGCAAGAGGTCACAAGGTCACCGAGCTGCCATTTGTCGGTGGAAAGTGTCTTCACATTTATCACAGATCTTGAATGCACTTGGCGGTGCTTTCAGTATCGTCAGGATACCTTTTGTCCCCCCGGACAGGGATCAACCTTTTGTCGAACCCATGTCCACTTGAGCATTGAGAATTTCTTCCAGGTACTTCGTAGAGATTGTCCGTAGGTCGACGAGCATGTTTATGATGCGGGCGAGGAGGAGGACCCCTTCGCCGTGGTTGAGGAGAAGCTGGCACTTGAGGGCCATGCACAGGTCGGTCTCCAGGTTCTCTAACATCTTCCTCGTCTTTAGCCCTTCACGATCTGAAAGGAAAAACAAACGGGTTTCAGAATATTCGAAAGCTTTTCAATGCTACGCTTCTACTTCAAAATCAAATTCTTAGAATCCAATTTCTTCAAAGAAGAAGACTTCAACACACCGAAAACTGGCACTGAACACTTTAATTGTTCAACATATGTCAACGTATGAAAATTCCTGTTTTGACATATTTTGTAGGAGTTGGTACACGCTTTGGGTTTTTTGTACGGATCCAAATAGTGGAGAGCACGTTTTCTTTTCGTTTTTATTCATAACTCGTCCGGGTTACAATATTCAAGGTCTCGGTGGAGCTTTCAAGGGGTTTTGATGTAGATATGTGGAGGACATGTCCAAATCATCTTCCCGAGGCAAGCGTGTCCACTTGCCTATATCAAAGCCTAGTTTGTGGAAACAAGACTTTGCTAAAAAGGCTAGTGGAGGCTCCTGTCTAAGAAAGATGTTTCCAAATATGACGCTTCGGTGGCAAACATGATGTCCGATGCTATTCCCTTTTTTACTTGTGTCATATGCAGAGCTTTATTATGAATGTGGAAAGGGTTTTGTCGTATTTATTTAATGAAGTCAATCCTTAAAAACATTTCGTTGAATATAGCCGTCAACTGCTTCTTACCTGGGCACAGAAGGACAATTGCACAGACAAGGGACATCTCCACATCCGTCAATTCAAACTTCCTGATTTTACTGACGACATTGTGGAAGTTCCTGAAAACCGTTCCCATGAGCCCAAGGTTAGAAAGAGCCTCCGTCTCCATATGGAACTTGAGTTTCTCGTCCACCCAAACCCCATCGGTCAGATGAACATGGGTGGAATCGTGGAGAACCGCCATCTCCAGCAAACAGGACTTGATGAGGACACGCTGGTCCTCAAGGGAGATGTCAAGGAACTGAGGAATCTCCTTGGCGAATGTCGAGATACAACGCACCATGGTTGGGAGATACCGGAGGTAAATGTTCTTCGACTCTTCCTGGGTGGATATCACTTCCATCTGGAACATATCAGCGGGTTTGTAAGTAAAGGTTGAAGTGTGGAGAAGAGATATAACAGTGGTTTGTAAGTTAGGGCAGGAGTGTGGAGAAGAGATATAACAGAGGTTTGTAAGTAAGGGTTGGAGTGTGGAGAAGAGATATAACAGAGGTTTGTGAGTAAGGGTTGAAGTGTGGAGAAGAGATATAACAGCGGGTTTGAAGGTAAGGGCTGAAGTGTGGAGAAGAGATATAACAGAGGTTTGTAAGTAAGGGCTGAAGTGTGGAGAAGAGATATAACAGAGGTTTGTAAGTAAGGGTTGAAGTGTGGAGAAGAGATATAACAGAGGTTTGTAAGTAAGGGTTGAAGTGTGGAGAAGAGACATAACAGTGGTTTGTAAGTAAGGGCAGGAGTGTCGAGAAGAGATATAACAGAGGTTTGCTCAAATTCTTCCTATTCGAAAACGTATAGCCTTTAGGCATTGTATCATTCAATTTCTATTTAGTTACGTTTAAGTCTAGACCAGATAATCCAGGGATTGGCATTATGAGCAATCAACCAAGTCAGCCAGCCTGACCACCCGATCCCTTTAGTCGCCTTTTACGTATGGGTGGCTGAAGACCTATTCTACCCCGGGTCGATAAGTAGTGTCATGTGATCAATGTAATATTCCACTAAAGTTAAAGAACAAAGTTATAGATATAAACACACATGTAACGGATCGCCATATATGTATATGTTTCCCAGATTATTGTTGACACAACGACCAAAGTTGTGGGCTGACAATAACCAAAAATACCCTGAAAAACAACTAAATCGTTACATAAACATTCAGCCATTAAATCTTAGTCTCATTCTAGTACTTTATTTCTTACCAATCAGTGACAAAAATGATGTCTGATACAATTTAATATATTGACTTGTACCATATGTTCCCGTGGTGTTTTTTTTCAGGTAAACAATTGACACGCCTTTGCGTGTGTTTGTGACGGCTGCCACCAGTGGGGCAGGATACGCTCACCTTTTCGCGAACACCTGGTATCACTACTATTTGATAGTGATTCATGAAAACATGTTTATAATACAGTCGGAATCATACACCGACTCTGCTTTAAGTAGAGATTTCTTATTATTAAGGAAATGCTTGTTTTCGTTTCTATTTTCCTAAGAAGCTCTATTCACTAATCATTACTGCAAGCGATTAGTACTTGGAAAAAATGAATGAAGCGAGTGTCTTATTTTTAAAATAGCTTGTTTGCTCACTTCTAGTCTCTGAAATTAAGATATTTTACAGAAAACTAAAGTTGTTAAATTATCTTATACAATATAAAAAAGGAGCCCAGAGACTCTTCATTTTCAGAAAGTGAAATCTACACTCGCCCACTATTATAGACTTGCATGGGCTGTATTGGATATATTTGTTTCAGGCTCTGTATCACCAGCTGTGATCTAGTTTACTGACCTTTACAAATCATTGAAAAACAGCCATATGGCGCTAACCCATTAATTTCAATGATCTGTCATCAATCACGATTTTACAACCATTTCCCAACACCAGTATATCATGTTTCTCGTTAGTGCTACACAGCGGTTTAAATGCCCATGGAGATCTTTACCCCGTAAATGCACTTGTCTCAATCACAGAGGAATGTCACGATCTTAATGTGAACTTGCGAAACACAATGAACTACCTGTACTGATAATCAATGGACGCCTACTACAGTGTACTCTTCATATGAAAGTGACGGACACACGCCTGTATACAAAAGACGTTTTAATAACAATAATCAATCTAAATGTCATGTGTAATTCCAAAAGGCATAGTCCTTGAGTAAACCTACTCTTGTCAAAGGATATGTGACCCACCTACATCATATAACAAATATAGCTTGACATATCGGCGCTCAATGACGAACCACTCAGGTCTGCGATCAGGGCAAAGGGTTCATCATGAGCTTATAGCACTCAACAGGAAATCTACCGCTCTGAACAAATAACTTGCTTTTTACACAGAGATTCCAGCTCTCCTTATAGATAAATATATGGATTAGCGTAGCATGGCAACAAAACCAAACATTTCCGCAATATCAAAGCGTAAACAGTTGTTGAGTCTTAATGACTTAAGGATGGAGTGAGTGAGTTGGGTTTAACGCGGCTTTTAACATTATTCCAGTTACATCATAGCGTGTCAGCTTAATGTGGAAGGAAAGCCCGAAGTGATGCAGGTCTCAGACGTTTACCACTTCGGTGATACCCACGAGCACGGGTATGGTGCTGACAAACCTAGAAACATAATCGGGGCGAACCGGGATTCGAACAGTCATAGGTTTCTGGCGTGCCCAAGGGACGCAACTCTGCACAGAGAATCGCGGCGCCTTAGTCTACTGGGCCACCCGTGCCCCGCACTTAGGATGGAGAAAAGGAACGTTAACTATCGTTCCATGAATTTACATAGTTTTAATTCCTAGTTTCGTCACCTCATAGTTTCGCCTGAAGCATGAACATCACTTTTCCTCCTAAATTTCTAGTGAAGATATGTCTAGTATTTTCTAAATAGTTTTCAGATCTGGTGTTGTGGGTTCATAGAACGGTAAAGCTTGAAAACCTGTTGAATATTTCTTCCCATGGTCTTTTTCATCGGCACCAAAACCCAAGGGTTGACCTGCGTTACTTGTGACTTTTCTCCTACACCAAACTGCCAGGTGAAAATTATAAATATTGTTCAAATCGGAGCTAAACCCAACCCACGCCCTCAAAATTACTCACAGCCTCTTCATTGTACTGAGACTGGTTTATGTGATAAAGTACACGAAGTTCATACAATGTTATTTTCTTAAAGTTCAGCCACGCACACAAGTGCCCACGAAGACATTTCGTGGGTTTATTAAAGGGCAAGTTAGTCTGTGAGTGAGTTGGGTTTAACGCCGCTTTTAACAGTATTAGAGTTATATCACGGCGTGTCAGCTTAATGTGAGAGGGAAAGCCCGAAGTGATGCAGGTCTCAGACGTCAACCACTTCGGTGAAACCCACGAGCACGGGTATGGTGCTGACAAACCTAGAAACATAATCGGGGCGAACCGGGATTTGAACCCACTATCATAGGTTTCTGGCGTGCCTAAGGGACGCAACTCTGCACAGCGAATCGCGGCGCCTTAGACGACTGGGCCACCCGTGACCCCCAAGGGCAAGTTAAGTCAACTTTGCAGATATAAATACTTTAGGGCATAGTTAATCACAAATAATTGACCAAAACTAAATGTGGCAATCGGAAATCGTGTGAAAAACACAATAATAAACGACACACGAAATCGTCTCCCAAACGAAAAGTATCCTCCGGTAAGAGAATTCCCCTCGCAGGAGGTTAAAACGGGTTCCCGCTGCTTGATGCGCTGCGCTGTCTTAACGATCAGGCCGGCTCCCAGTCTGCCTGGTGGTTTATTACGGGTCTTCCTATTTGTCCCGCACCCGAGGGTACCTGTACCTATTAAGGGTACAGATCTACCCGTGCGTGGTGATGGGTAAGACAATATGGGATTAGGGGGGCATCTCACATAAGACAAGTAATTCATGAATAGCTCACAACATATGACGACACTATTCACATACACTGCACTGAGTGAAAGCGTTTAACATATATATCAATGAATGAGTGAACATTTTAATCATTTAGTACGATTTGGGCTATAAAAGGAAATACAGACAAGAGTGGCCTTCCATTGTGGCATTCCATTTACAGTTCATTCCCGATTCTGAGAGAGATCGGCCCTTGGGTTTTGTCGGATATAAGTTCAAGATTAAGACCAGGGTCCACCTGCACAAAGCGTTCTTTGCGCTAAGACTATTGTAAGCCTATGTTAAAGTATGGGAGTTACGATCATCTTAGCGCTAAGATCGTTTTGTACAAGTTAGCCCAGACGTCAAACTTCCATTTAAGCACCAAACACCAAAGCTGACTTTCACGAAGCACAATTAAATGTCTCTGAGCAGTGGGGCGACGCCACAAATCATCTCGAGGGATTGCATCACAATCCAGCTACTTTTTGATGGCACCCAAGACGAAGTATCGAAACCTAGACTATGACCTTGAGGGAGAAGAGACAATTTCTTGCCAACCAGAAACCAGTGAACGGTTTTATCACAATGCTGTTTCCCATCTGGACTGTGACTTATACAAATGGAAATGGGAAATTGGACAAAAAAGACAATATTGAATACAGTGTTCATTCGTTTTATCAATTGTTTATTACACATGTATATTTTGGAGTAAACGACGTCCTCAAATTCACCTTATGCCCCGTCAATACACGTTTGGTGCTTCATCGATGCTTCCAACTTTTTTATAAAATCTGTTAATGTTTTCACTTCGTCTGCAGAAAATGTTCCGGTGGTTTTCCTGCTAGAATTTTCTCATGAAATGGAGACCGCCTCCGTGGTCTTGTGGTAGAGCGTCCGCCCGGAGAGCGGAAGGTCCAGGGTTCGATCCCAGGCCGCGTCATACAAAAAGACGTTAAAAGATTGTACTTGTTGTTACCCTGTCTGGCGCTCGGCATTAAGGGGCTAAAACAAGGACTGGTCGGCTCAGAGTCAGTATACTGTGTCTGAGTGGGGTATTCATGTTAAACTGCGGCATGGTATCTCAGTGAGCTAGCACTATAAATCGGCATCAGTCCGGACTAGTACAAGCAGCGACACACACACACACACACATACACGTGCATGCACGTCGCTATATAAGTGCAATAATCTTGGACGCGACGTTAAACCCAATTTCACCTCACCTCACCTCATGAAATGGAAAGAGTTATCTCCCCAATGTATGGCTCACACGAGGTACCACACCAGGTTAGCATTGCGTGGTCTTTCGTGAGTAGTGCCTCCCCATCTGTGTCACCAACACACCCAAATCTGAAGGGCGTATATGTTAAATTACGAAACGTATCAAAGCTTTCATAGGGCATAAAACAATAGTCCACAATATACATACCCTGGTTTGACACAAATTGTCACTAGTATTGCTACCATTCAGCACACATTCGCATTAATTAAAAATTGAATACACAATTTTCCATTGTTATTTAGTGTGAAGTCAATAGCTTATCCATGCCCTCTGTGTAGACAGTCTCATCGCCACAGCGGCTGTTAAAGTCACCACATATGAAATGTATGTTATGATATCCACATACCTGTGACAGCAAAGTATCATAAAATTCTTCAACAGATACATTTCTAGATGAAGCAGACACATAAATACTTTGTACATTGTCCTGATTTGTTTATAAGTGATAACCAAATAAATATATGTGCCTTCATTGGTATCATCCTCCACGGTAACATCGTATGAATCAAAGATTGCATTCTTTATTAAAAAACCCATTCCCCCAGAGCCCCGAGGGGAATATGTTGAGACCGAACCACTTGTATAGATGGTCGGAGATGAGTCTCGCTTATACTGAGAATATCCCAGTCGGAGTTTGTAGCACAAATCTGTCGCAGAGCGGCATTTTCCGAGTTAGAGTTTTTGACCAACCTTCCACGTCCCAACACCCGCCCTTTAACTATAGTAGTGAACTCTGTTGCGTGGGTGGACGAAGCTCGGCTTCGGTCCCGCCCTCTTCTTGACCGTCCATCCACATTGATGCTTTGCGTCTCTCTGATTGGTCGACCTGTGGTGATCACGTGATCTTTGTTGACAAACACCGTCAGGTTCACGTGCGTCCGGACGTGTTGTCCTTGTGTCATCTGGGTGATCTGCCATTACGGTGGTGGCTCGGTTGATGATTGTTGTTCTAGCATATCCTGTCGATTCTGTCGTACCCAATGCCATGTAGACGATGTCTGTCAGCCTTAGTTGCCAGTCACCAACTGTTTCCACAAGAGCAGGCATATTCGTCTCGACAATTCGTTGTTGTAAAGGCTTGTCACTCAATGTATGCACGACCCGTGAAGATCCGGGGTAGAATAGGTCTTCAGCAACCCATGCTTGCCGTAAATGGCGTCTATGCTTGTCGTAAGAGGGATCGGATGATCAGGCTCGCTGACTTCGTTGATGCATGTCATTGTATTCCAAATACGTGAATCGATGCTCATGATGTCAATCACTGGATTGTCTGATCCAGACTCGCTTATTTACAGACCGCCGTCATATAGCCGGAATATTGTTGAGTGCGGCGTTAAACAACAAACAAACAATGTATACACGAGAGATTTTTTGCTGTCTCTGAAACTATTCTTTTTCGTGATAATGTTTCGCTTATCTTCAATAGACTTACAAGTTGCGATAGCTGCACCAGGATGTTTCACACTGCGGGTCTTTTTCCTCTGTTTTTGTCTATTGAGATATCTCCCAATTTGAGACTATCTCTGATCAGGCTGTTATTTGTAACATATTCACCAGTCAGTGCTCTCTTGTAAATTTCTCCCCACAAGGTTTAGGTGGATAGACAGCTTCGCTGCCTCTGCGTCTAAATGATATTGCGTGCGCGTAAGATCGGCAATGTCTCTCTTAACTGCTATGCAACCTTGTATGTCCGCCACGTAACTGGGACACGTCATTGTTAACGTCACACTTTTCACTTATAAATTCTTCTCTCACTTCTCGGATTTCACCGTTTATCATCCACTAAATTCATTCTTCTATCAAAATGTTCACTGAGATCTTTAATTTCCTGAAATACATCTGACACCGTTTGTCACCATGTCGACTGCGTTGGGTGTCCTCCCTACGGGTATGCGGTTGCCTGTCACTGATGCTGTGGTCGCCATTACTGAACTCACAAAATCTTGACAGCTCTGATGATCGGTATGCAGTCGCTTGCGGGGCACGGGTGGCCCAGTCGTCTAAGGCGCCGCGATTCGCTGTGCAGAGTTGCGTCCCTTGGACACGCCAGAAACCTATGATTGTGGGTTCGAATCCCGGTTCGCCCCGATTATGTTTCTAGGTTTGTCAGTACCATACCCGTGCTCGTGGGTTTCACCGAAGTGGTTAACGTCTGAGACCTGCATCACTTCGGGCTTTCCTCCCACATTAAGCTGACACGCCGCGATATAACTCTAATACTGTTAAAATCGGCGTTAAACCCAACTCACTCACTCACTCCAGTCGCTGGCGAGAATTGCCTAATGCCATGGGTGGAACACCCAGAGATCACATACCGGTATATCGCTGTATGGTCTCTAGAACAGCACAGACAAGGGTGTTGATTCATGCATTGTTATCTTGTTTTCTACATGCCATCTTCTTATCTTGATTTTTAAGCTTGTTTTACAAATACTATCTTAATATTAAATGGACAGAAATACGGATGTATTATGTCAAATAAAACATGTGTTTCAACATTGTCCAAACCGTCTATCATACGCTATCTCGCCGTCGCGCATTCATGTTTTATTGATGGAAATGTATATTTAGTGCCTTATAGATTTTGTGAATTTGATACGTCCATCAAGCTAACTTTCATGTGAAGAAAGGTATTCTTTCATATGTACTGTCTCAGACTGTGCACATTTGTATATGTTTTAAGCTTTTTATATTATAGTTGTACCTAAGGTTAGACTAACATAACATAAACTGTCTGTCTGCCAAAATTACTGTGCAAAGCAACAAAATGGCATAGTACACAGCTAATCCCATGCCACATTAACTAAATGAATTAATTTTAATCATGTTATGTATTTTCCTTATCTTAACCATGTTTTAACTTTACTAGATAATATTATTTGTTTGTTTTTAACGCCGCACTCAGCAACATTCCAGCTATATAACGGCGGTCTGTAAATAATCGAGTCCAGTTATTGACATCAAGAGCATCGAGCCACGCAACTGGGATACGATGACATGCATCAACCAAGTCAGCGAGCCTGACCACCCGATCCCGTTATTCGCCTCTTACGACAAGCATAGTCACCCTCTACGGCAAGCATGGGTTGCTGAAAACCTGTTCTAATTCAGATAAACATTGACACATTACTGTTCCAACTTCTAACTGCCTCTCAAAGACATACACCCGTTTGATAAGATGTAACGGTCATTTTATATGTTTCCGCCACTTTTCTTCTTATCCCTTCTCTTGGGCTGTTCGCGTAGATGTTCACTGATGCAAAATACCCTTTCGGTGTGTCATGAGAAACATACAGTACTGTTTTGAGACCGATTGACAAAGTATTTAACGTTTGTTGTTATCTGTGCAATTTGCAACCACCTCACATCATAAACAAAGACTGAATTTACAGTAACACGGTATTCAATTAATTATGTTGTTATTGTGCAGTTTGCAAGCACCTCTCATCACAAAAGGAAACAGAAAACTGAATATGAAATTTCATCATTTTCAGTGAGAATACGCATGACAAATGAATAAAAGTTTTATTAAAGTTCTGATTCAACCACCATGTTGACGTGAAAGCACACTACATTCTTCATAATACATTTCCCCATATCATATAAACAAATTTTTTACAATTATATTTACAATTTGACCAACTATAATAAATAATGAATGAATAATAAATTCCATCGTCACTTATGAAGTTCACTAAAACGTCACAGATAAACACGGATTCAAGCCAAATCTGTCATCTGACAGAATCCATGAACTGGTAGAGTGATTTCCCATAGAGAAAAAAGGGATTAAAATCCTAACGATAACCAATCTAAATGCTGTTCCACAAGTATTCACTGCCAATTTACTCTAACAATAAGCAGTTATCTTTGGTAAGATACAGAATAATCTTCATCTTAAACACGCTGTTTGTGAGTGAATGTTGTTTAATGTCACATTTAGCATTTAACAATATCCCTGTACTTAATCGAGTCGTAACAAGACAAACTTGTGGTTGATATTATGAGCAACGCTGTCGGGGTTCGATGACATACAATTTATAAAGTCACCGAACCTGACCACTTGGACAAGCTGCGGACCTATTCTGACGGTGATCTCTTGGTATCACCAAAAGCATGAAGTACTCGTTGCCTATTTTGTCCAAGAATCGCCACAGGGTAAATGTCGACCCTCTATCATATGACTCGGCCAAGGATTTATATAAACTTTTTACACATCATGGACAACAAATATATCCCTGCTACAAATAATATTTGTCTACTGACCTCAACAGGGGCCACGTCTTTGGAGACTCTGTCAAACTCCTTCGAGGCGGACTTGAATGCGTCATGTATACAGAGAACCATCTGTTCGTTCTTCACCTGTTTATCTACGTCAACTGCACCGCTCTGGTTTTGTGGAAGGACAAAGAAATTGGCGCTAGATGGTCGGTCCTTTTTCGGACAGCGTCCTAACCGTACCGCTGAAAGAGGAAACAGACATGAAAACATGCACTACACCCTAAGGCAACATCGTCCGTACCGTATGCTATTCACATAATAGAACTTCTGAAGTCAAAATCTCGATATAATGGAAAACTGTTAATGTGATACACCCAATCGTCGTTGATTCGTTGTATGGTAGTATACCGGATTAACGAGGTTTCACCGTATATGGAGGGCGATGGGGTAGCCTAGTGGTTAAAGCGTTCATTCGTCATGACCCGGGTTTGATTCTCCAATACAATGTGCGAAGCCAATATATGGTGTCCACCGCCGTGAAATTGCCAGACTCAATCTCACTCACTCTCGTACTTACTCACCCACTCACTCAATCACTCAATCTCACCCACTCCCGTACTTACTCACCCACTCACTCAATCACTCAATCTCACTCCCGTACTTACTCACCCACCCACCCACTCACTCAGTCACTTACTCACTAATTCACCCACTCACTCACTCACTTATTCACTCACTCACTCACTCACTCACGGTATATGGTTTATTTCGTATGGCCTATAAAGACAGATGGAGGGTACTAAACAAAGAGAAGTCTTTTTTAGTCGAAAAAGAAAACGATTCGGTACAAACATCGCGGGATAATCAGATGCTGTTCCGCAAAACTGTGCCGAATTAGAATTATCGACCCTATTAAATAAACGGCATGATACCATGTTTACATGACCTGACAGCTTTTTTAAAAAGGGAGGGGACCAAAATATCACAATCCTCTCTCAGATAATTTTACTGCCTTCAACATAATACATACTGGTTTTGCTTTTCAAAAGAGGGACAGGACCCCCTGGACCACTACGCCACCCCAGAGCCCTCTTAGAGCTCCCGTGAAGATCCGGGTTAGAATTGATCTTCAGCAACCCATGCTTGTGGTAAGTAGCGACGCTGCGATATAACTGGAATACTGGTAAAAGCGGCGTTAAACCCGACTCACTCACGTAAGTAGCGAATAACGTGATCGGGTCAAGCAGCTCACTGATTTGGTTGACGCATGTCATTGTATCCCAGTTGCATAGATCGATGCTCATTATATCAATCACTGGTTTGTATGGTCCAGACTCAATTATTTACAGACCGCCGTCATATAGCTGGAATATTGCCGAGTGCAGCGTTAAAAACAAACACATAGACAAACAAACACGCGTAAGGAGATACTCACACTCGTGTGACATGCCCACAGTTAGGCATTTCTGTAAGCGACAGAACTGACATCTGTTCCGGCTGATCCTCATGATAAGACATCCCTTGGGGTTATCACACGGTTTGTACGTGATGTTCTGGCGGATAGTCCGTCGGAAAAAACCCTGCAAATTGAAAAGTGAGACTGTATTGATGTTTGCAATAGATTCAGTGATGATTGTGATGATGGAGGAAGGCATCCATAGAAAGGCAGGACCAGAGTGGATGGAAATGTCAAGACAAGCCCAGGAGCAGGGCTCCGCGTCCTGACTTCTAACATCTCTCATATAGACGTCTACAGAGATATTAATCTTAAAAGAAATACAATATACAGAAATCATTATTTTCTTCAATAGAAAGGGGATATATTCATATTTTTATCAATTTTGAATTGAATCACTTGTGGTCATTAAGGGTATGCGCGGATTCTCATATTATATCACATACTTCGTGCATCATTAAATACGGCCAGACATTTTTATGAGTGATTCGGAAAATTTAGTGAAAATGCTTATTCATTCCTACATGTTATTTCATTGTGATTAACGTCCATGTGTAATGCCCTAAACGAACCAAAATTAGTGTGTTTCTCTTCCTCTCTTCTCTTCAAACCTTGTCTGACATCCTTTCCCGGATTTATTTTAACTTCTTACATTTTGTCTCCGAAAGTCTTCCACAAATTGCACTACTACGGACTTCACATTTGCTGATTTCAAAGTAAAAACTTCTTGAATATCAACTATTATGCTCTTTGGGCAGGCAATGGGGATCTGCTTGGGTATTGGCACCTTTGCGCCTCAATATTAATGACTAGCTTTAGCTTCAGTTTAGATAGATAGATCATATATCCTACAGAATACAATGTACAATGCAGATATTACGCCCCAACTTTGCATCCTTCAGTATTAATTGTACTGAACAGATGGTTAAGGTCGTATCATATATCCTCAGAATACAATGTACAATGCAGATATTACGCCCCAACTTTGCATCCTTCAGTATTAATTGTACTGAACAGATGGTTAAGGTCGTATCATATATCCTCAGAATACAATGTACAATACAGATATTACGCCCCAACTTTGCATCCTTCAGTATTAATTGTACTGAACAGATGGTAAGGTCGTATCATATATCCTCAGAATACAATGTACAATCCAGATATTACGCTCAAACTTTGCATCCTTCAGTATTAATTGTACTGAACAGATGGTAAGGTCGTATCATAAATCCTCAGAATACAATGTACAATACAGATATTACGCTCAAACTTTGCATCCTTCAGTATTAATTGTACTGAACAGATGGTAAGGTCGTATCATATATCCTCAGAATACAATGTACAATACAGATATTACGCTCAAACTTTGCATCCTTCAGTATTAATTGTACTGAACAGATGGTAAGGTCGTATCATATATCCTCAGAATACAATGTACAATACAGATATTACGCTCAAACTTTGCATCCTTCAGTATTAATTGTACTGAACAGATGGTAAGGTCGTATCATATATCCTCAGAATACAAGTTACAGTACGCCGTACGCCCCTACCTTGCATCCTTCGCACGAGAAGACGCCGTAATGGAAGCCAGATGCCTTGTCCCCGCACACTTTACACAGGATGTGTCCTCCGGGGGGTGCGCCTGCAAACGAGGAAGAAGACAGTGGATAATTGAACTGTACACACACACACACACACACACACACACACACACACACACACACACACACACAATCGAATTATGGGCTAAATATACTCATCGTCATAGATGAAGGGTCACCTAGGTATGTAGGATGTCAGTGAGCGAGTTAAAACTAAACAAGAGTTTGCCACTAACGTGGCTATATCCCCCGCCCCTGTTGCAGAATTTATGACATAATTAAATCTAAACAAACCCTAATCTTTTTTAACCGAGGTTGAACTTTTCATGGAAATTGTAGAGAAAAGAAGAGGTAAATAATAAAAAATTCTAAAATTTCTAAATAGCAAAAGGCACCAGTTCAGCATGAACTTGACAGACCTGCAAAGTTTGATGAAAAAATATTGAATGGTTTATGAGTTATGCTCCGGAAACGAACCCTACCCTCACAGAACCTAAGTCCATCTCGTTGCCATTGAAACGTAAAAAATAAAAATTTCTAACATTTCTAAATAGCAAAAGGCACCAGTTCAGCATGTACCTGACAGACCTGCAAAGTTTGATGAAAAAATATTGAACAGTTTATGAGTTATGCTCCGGAAACGAAACGTTTCTATATCCCCCGCCAACTTTGTTGGGCGGGGGATAAAAATTAACGTCGCATCGGCATTATTTCAGCATTATAGCGACATATGCCAGTAAGAGTCAATAGGTCTGTGTATCAAGTAAGGGTAGGATTTATGGATGAACAACTTCTATATTACAATTAAGAGCGACGTTTCGGTGTAGGTTCTTACACCGTTATCAAGCAGGTGATATACAGAGTATAAATGACAAGTATATATATATATAGGTAGGAGGCATGTTCAAAGAGTATGTTCACAATGTGATTTTCAGTTGAAGAACTGGTACTTATGCCTGTCACACTGATTGGGTGCCTCTATGAAATTGGAAAAAAAAACCCAGGAAAACGACTAGTACAAACAAAGAATAGTGCAAGATTGAAGGTAATAGAAAAAGCTACCCAAAACACACGCCTGGACTAAGGTTCAAACAGTGCGCCTGTAATACGTGACAAGTAACTGTCAATGTGGGTATAAAATTGTTCGTTCCAGATGCAACTGAACTGCACTTTTGGAAGTTGATTTTTTTTAAACACTTTTATATCTTATCATCTGCGTGACCGGTCAACAATGAGTAGCTCACAGGTGCGCCACGTTCAACCTTGGAACAGAAGCAGCCATCAGAGCAGTGAATTGTATTAGTGCAGGCTGGTCAACAGAAGCAGCCATCAGAGCAGTGGATTTTATTAGTCCAGGCTGGTCAACAGAAGCAGCCATCAGAGCAGTGGATTTTATTAATCCAGGCTGGTCAACAGAAGCAGCCATCAGAGCAGTGAATTGTATTAGTCCAGGCTGGTCAACAGAAGCAGCCATCAGAGCAGTGAATTGTATTAGTGCAGGCTGGTCAACAGAAGCAGCCATCAGAGCAGTGAATTTTATTAGTCCAGGCTGGTCAACAGAAGCAGCCATCAGAGCAGTGAATTGTGTTAGTCCAGGCTGGTCAACAGAAGCAGCCATCAGAGCAGTGAATTGTATTAGTGCAGGCTGGTCAACAGAAGCAGCCATCAGAGCAGTGAATTTTATTAGTCCAGGCTGGTCAACAGAAGCAACGTTCAACTTGATGAGTGTCGTTCAAAACATCAGTTTACAGAAGCAACTCTCAGATTCATGTCTTATATTTCAACTGCGGGTCTCACTGGAGGACATCAGCAACGCTTAATTTGATGGAAGTCATACATTTTGTGTGTTCATGCACAAACTATGTGGTGGATTAAACAACTGAAACACACTGCCTGTTCAACGTCGTTATACTTGTCAAAATAACTCAAATAAGACATAACACTATTTTCATAATTTATGTGTTTACAAAATGCCAAATATACGAGACTGTTTCATATTTCAAAATATCAATGTTTATGTTAATACCATAAACTGGTTGAATAGCGAACAGAATTACCAGTGGTTAGTTTGGGGCTGAGGAAGATGACTCTGACAAGTTGAAGTTATCAAAGTTGGTTTGTTATAGGCGAAAAGGTCGTTTGTTACACGTTAATCCTAGATATTAATTAACAGAAGTTGGTATCATAGAAAGTAAATAGTTCAGAATTCATGATCCTAAGGGAAGTGTTAACCATAGCAATACACCGACAAGAATACAATTTTAGCGGGTGCCTTAAGGCCATTTTCCACCGGCCCTTTTCACCCGTCCTGCTAAACAACAGGGGGTTTGTTGGACTTGCCCCTTACACATGCGGGCTTATGCTATATACATATGTAAGCGAGAGTGAAATTACACAATTAAATGGCAACCATACTGCGATACCATTTTGCTCTTTTGACCTTCACGGTGATAAGCTATTCACATCTGATATGGTAGGGCTTGTTTAGTTGACAGACTTGACAAGGATTTCATGGTCTTTTAATGTGTGCTTTCTGTTCAGGTGCACAAAGAGCCAGGGTCGTTATCACGCAATGCACTCGCAACACTTGTTGATGAAAATTAATATCCATATATTTTTAGTATAGCATCTAAAATGACATACGGGCGAAAACAAGTGCATTAATTTAGAAAGACCAAATGATGATAATAAAGCTGAACTCTTTAAGAAAATGTAATCACATACTTTAGTGAACATTATTTTGTGATGACCTTGGCCTTTGTCATATGACAACTACTTACTAGGTTATAAGGTGCCGAGGAGTTCTTTTTGAACTAAGTAAGATTTGTATTTCTTTAGGATTTCATGTCATCTATACCTTATGGTCCAGTGTTTTGAAACATTTGGCAGAATAGATTCTGAGAAAAGGTATTTTTGCAACATTGTCAACTGAACTGAATGACGACAATGCCGCACGTTGACCTAACTTAAATATATTAACGTCTGTGTCAATCTCACAAAACCTCAGCTACGGCCTTTGAGAATAAGATGGTTAAATTTTAAATGACATTTGATTCTTGGTTCTTTTAAACCTGAGCGAGCGGGATAATTTGTTACAAAGCCAATGCAAATTGAATGTGGAGACAATTTAAGACCTTGGTCAAAGTATTGTCAAGGTCAACTGTTAACCTATAAACTAACAACAGTGCCACAGCAATGTAGCGCATCTAGATATGTAATCACACAGCCTAAAATATATGTTGCTGCTAGCACTTATACTTAAATATTTTCTCCAGAGATAATGCAAACTAATTGACAAATATTAACTTATTCACATTCAATACTTTCTAATCTGCAGTAACTAACTGTATCTGAAGGTAACTCATGTCGTGTTAATTTATAACACTTCAAGCTTATAATAGACACAAGCATTATGCTGACTTGCACCCCAACAAAATCCACAACACAACCTCGTATCTACAGTCAAATTACTGTCTTGATAATGGTTAACCAAATAACTAGAAGACCGTCTGGACCTGATGGAAGCTTTCACTGAAACCTGTAGGGTTGCGACGGGTACTCGAGTACCCGATAACGGGTCGGGTAGCTTATGACTCGAGTCCAATTTTCTGGACTCGAGTACCCGTTCAGGGGAGATAACTCTAATCGCCTTTCGTAACTCGTAAGTCACTTCAAAATGGACGACAAAGCGGACAAACGTTCAAATGTTTTAGGTAAGCCATGCAGGCATTTAATAAAAAACATAATACCTTAGAATAGATCAATAGATGTTTGATGACCTTTTATTCGCAAAAGCATTACAAACAAGTGGGACAACATTGAACTACGGGTACTCGAGTCCGGTTCGGGTATTGTCTGCCGGGTACTCGAGTTCACTTTTCGTACCCGGTCGCAACCCTAGAAACCTGTATCACTTCATAATGTCATTGCACAGATCCCACACTGTACCACATCCATCTTTTTGCCAGTATAACCTTATAACACATTAACGTGCATAGTGTAATCACGTTATGCATTTGTTTGTTGTATTTCCAAGAGTAAGTGACCTACATTTAAAGTCCCATTGGCAATGTTTCAGTCATGTTGGATGTAATATGATAAAGACGCTTTCTTTGCCCACTTGAAAAAAATATAGTTATATAATGAAAGTTATGGTACATGTTCATTCGACTAAAACCTAACTGCATACTTCCTGTCAGTTTCAAGGTTGGACTATGAGATGATGTTGTATAGAACTACAGTAAACTACGGTTATAACGAACACGCTTATAACGAACTGACGGATATAACGAACTTACTTTTTTCGTCCCGACTATTTGCTGTAGTTATGCTGTGTATATGCTTATAACGAACTACGGTTATAACGAACTAAAATTAGTAGTCCCTTTGAGTTCGTTATAACCGTACTTTACTGTATAGCTAAAAGAAGGGGAATAATTACCTTTGAAGGTTGAGAGAAAATTATTAGTAAGCCCCTGACGCAAGATGAACTTTTCACCACTTGCTTGTTCACTCCTTTCCCAAAAGAAGCTTTGACCAATCTGTTTGCTCATATTCAATTACTAAACATACGCTTCCTGAAAACATAATTTAATCAACACCCCCGTGAGATTTCCGGTTTAGGGCTGGTCCCCATCAACCTATGATGGTCGTAAGGGGCGACTAAATGGATCGGGTGATTTCGTTAAAGCGTGTCACCATACCCCAAATGCGTTGTGCCGACAAAACAAGAAACATAATCATAGCGAATCTGGGATTTGTATCCTGGCACGCATAAGGGACGCAACTCTTGCCAGCGATTTGCGACATCCTAAACGAGCGGGCCACCCTCGCTCAATAGAATTGCTAAGGTTCAATAATGTCATACTCTGTATACAGGAAAAAATGAATTGATGAAGTGAGGACAATATAAATCAATAAAAATGTACGTTAAACAACTCACCGTGCTTTGTTGAACTGCGTTTTGCAACCATCTGTCTTGATACACTGATAACCATTCCGTCTGTATTATCTGAAATCATAACAAAAACATGATATTCATCATTTACATAATTGAAGTCATTCCAGATACCACGATATAATCAAAAAGTCTGTACAATGAAATTGAAAATCCAATCAAAATCGAAAGGCTTGAAATGAAACACCAGGGCAAAATTAAATAGGAAATTCGAAACCGAAAACTATTAACAATATAGGGTCAACCAATCACAAACATAAGGTATGGATATGATATGGTCATAGATAATATATATGACAAAGATGGTATAGTGAAACAGTTATATATATTCATATACTTTAATTTTCAACATAAAAAGTGGGATACTTTTCAAACACGTTCGTTAAACATTAAACAATTGTTAAACAAAAGAAACTAATGTACACTCGGCAACAACCGGAATATATTTATCTGACTTAATTGTCGTTATTCACATCACAGATTTGTTACTATTGAAGAAATATTTATATGCTATTTTCATTAGGTTTGTCAATTAAAATTAAGTTCAAATCGGTACATACAGCAAAATAAACAATGGACTAACATGTGATAAAAAACACATATGGAAGCATAATTAAAAATGGAAGATTGTCATGTTTCAATTTGTCAAAAGAAATTTGCATCCCAAATAAGACCACTAATTTGAATAAAGACAGAAAGCGGTGGGCGTTTAATTAGAAACAATGGACAAACATGTGACAAACACGTATAAAATCATCCTTTAACGTGGAAGACAGTCATATTTCAATTTGTCAAAAGAAGTTTTCATCCCAAATAAGACCACTTATTTGAGTGACGACAGACAGCGGTAGGCGTTTAATCGGTGTTACAGTATCAAAATAACAATGCTGAAATATTTTAAAATGTTATCCTATAATACATCAACTAAAATGTCTTTATTTAGCAAATATGCACCCATGCAAAAGGTAAAATCTTCAAAAGAAGTTTAGAGAAAATAATTTTAATTCATCAATATCCCCACCACTCTGAATAATAGAAACAAACGAAACAGGTCAAGAAAGTATTAACGGGGCATATGATCAACGGTCGGGTACCCGTTTCCAGTAATGTGTAAAGCTGAGACACTACAAGATGAATATTTATTTAATTCTAGATTCAAACACATCACGCAGTTAGCAATCACACATAATTAAACTTGTTAAGACTCAACAAGGAGTCCTTGTAGTTGATCGAAGTTCAAATAATTCGTAAATACACAAACTAACAAATCCCCAGTGCTCCATGCTTATCATGAGAGAGGGATGAGGATCGAGGTTGTGTACCATCGTACCAAACGGGGAAGGACGTTGCTACCATGCAATCAGCCACTAGGTTGTCTGAGCTAGACCCCCCAAAAGCATATAAAAGCATACCCCCATCTTGCGAGGAACAGGATAAAAGCATTTAAAATTAGGCATGGTTTTGCAATAGCCCATGAAAACGACCTCAGAGGAAAGATATGGTCAGGTTTAATTTTCTCTTTGCTAAAAGCTGTCCATTGTACTATATTAACACCATGTGTTTAGCAATCACTATAAAATGATGACAGCAGTTGCATAAAGATGAGCGTATCCTGCATGACAGATGGCATTCGTAATAAACACATGCAAAAACAAGTCAAGTGTTCACCTAAAATAACACATATGGTACAAGTTATTAATAGCGAAAAGCATCGGACATCATTTTTGTCACTGAAGCGTCAAACTTGAAAATGTCCTCCACATGTCTACCATAAGACCTTTTGAATGCTTTGCTGAGGCCTTGAATGTTATAACCTATTAAAACAACTTTTCAGCAAGAATCGTGAGACGTACTTTGAAATCTTCGTAGAAAGAGCATGCTCGATTGTACTTCTAAGGCTGCGAAGTGAATACACCAAACTACTTTCCACACCTTTCTTAATATCAACTCACCCAGTTACAACATCCGGGGGTGTCGTTAGTTGAGAATCAATAACATACTGAGCGACACAATTTTATTGAAAGGGTCATACAAAAAGGTGTGGATAACAGAACATGTCATTTTGCGTCAGGTGGTGGACATCGCATCTGTTTCATGACTGTGACCATACTGACAGTCACAATACTTTCTGGTGACTTGGCATTTATTTATTTTTAAAGAAAAACTACGAGCCTACATATTTTTGTAATAAAAACACCTTACAAACATGGATTTTTTGTGGCAGACAATTTCCTCTTTTTTTCACCAGTCTGAAGGATGATTATTTTTTCAAGTATTTTCTGGGACAATTTTTTTTTTTCGATAAACCCCAGGGAGCAGGGTTAAACCTACAGGCCATACAACATAGCTCCACGTGACAGTGGATAACTAGATTGGTTTCACACCCAAATATAGACCAAGTTCATGACACTTCGCGTGGCGGACTAGTTACAAACCAAGTTCACCTGTCACACGCACAGACATCTGGCTTGTTGTCAAGGAAACGTTACTGATGTTTCCTTTCCAAACCAACATGGCGGGAGAGTTGACAATGTGTTTTTAACAAATAGACAGACTTTTGCAGCTCTAATCTTGGTATATGCATTAAGACGAAAATCATCTGACGAAAATGAGCAATCTGATTGGTGGTTTACTTGCAGAAAATTTGCGGACACGCGGTCAACGAAAGTTGAAAGCTCCTTCTGGGTGCAGATGTGTCGGCCTGGAATAGAGCCGGTCTGTATTCCTCGCCGACAGTTGCTATGAGGTAAAACTAAATTCGTAAAGGATGACACACAAGGCACTTTATGTTGCAGATATAGGTTGACCGATAGAAATTGCCTCGTGTCTCATGGGCTTGACATAGGCAAAATATGCAAACTAATGTGTCATTTCGGATGTTCTCCATATTAACCTCGCCAAAGGAAGGGGTAGGGTCAAGATGCTTATGCAACGTTGTAAAGTATATGGTATATTTGGTCTTGTGCGGCCATCTTCCGGTTGTAAGAGAGTTAACTGACTATAAAAGTACAGTTTTCGACCTTGCCGAACTTGGCTGGACTAACGAATTTCTGTGCATAGTCCAGTCAAAATCGCGTAATAAAATCGACATCCTGTTCGTAAACTGCCATAGAAATTTCGGTCGAGTGCAGGATTTGCAAAGCATGTGCACCGTCAAATGGCCATCGTCATAATCAAAGTGCTCAAATAATTTGATGCACTTTGCGAGGAAAGACCCGTGTTGTAACTATATATAGATCTTGATTATCGATCATCGATCGTCTTGACTGGGCGCAACCATTTTGTTTGAAGCAATTGCAAGGTGGAATTGCAAGGTGGAATCTGATTGGTCAATAGGAGGAACAAGAAAGGACATAACTCGTAATAGCCACTGATGGCGCCACGAAATTCCAACCAAGTTAACTCCCTTGCCTCGGAAAGATGAAATATCAGTTGTTAGGGTAATACAAGGTAGAGTACGATTCATTATAGTGCATAACCGTAGGAGTATTTACTGTCCACTGTAGGTGTGTTTATTGTACATTGTAGGGTTATGTACGGTATCCAGCAATATCACAACGGAATGCACAATGCAGGAGCTGCGCACACAGTACCTACGTGGGTTCCAGTCATAATAAACAAAGGAAAAAAACCTCATCGCTGTTGGTTGATGAAAAATAATTGAGTGGAGTATCCCGCCGTTGTAAACCGCGACCTGTCAGCTTCAAGTGGCAGGAAAGCCCGAAGTGAAGCAGGTCTTAGATGTTTAACTCTTTGTTGAAATCCACTGGCGCTGGTATGGTGCTGTCAAACCTCGAAAAAAAATAATCAGGCCGAATCTTGAATTTGAATCTATGATCATAGGTTTCTGGCACGCCTAAGGGACGCAACTCTGCACAGTTACTATATTTTGAAAAACATTCATAGATGTCAACCGTTACAGGCGACGGTTTCCTTCATCATATTTTAGGGCACAGGTGACCCAGTCGTCTAGGGCGCCGCAATTCGCTGTGCAGAGTTGCCTCTCTTGGGCATGCCAGAAACCTATGCTTGTGGGTTCGAATCCCGGTTAGCACGGATTATGTTTCCAGGTTTGTCAGCCCGTATCCGACATAAGCGTTCTCGTCGATTTCGCCAAAGTGGTAAACGTCAAATAGCTGCATTACTTCGGGTTTCCTCCAACATCAAGCTGACACGCCGTGATATAACTGGAATACTGTTAAAAGCGGCGTTAAACCCAACACACTCACTCATTCACTCACTTCATCATCTATGATTACATAACATTAATGACTGACAGTAGACATGTTATAGTTCGACATGATCACACATGTAGTGAGGTTCATCATCACGCTTTGATATATGACTTTGAAAAGTGCGCAATAAAGACATGTTGTACCCGGACATATATATAGATCAATATAGAACAAGGTTTTGTTTGTTTGTTGTTTAACGCCACACTCAGCAGTATTCCAGCTATATGACGGCGGTCTGTAAATAATCGAGTCTGGACCAGACAATCAAGTGATTGACATCATGAGTATCGATCCACGCAATTGGGATACGATGTCATGTATCAACCAAGTCAGCGAGTCTGACCACCCGATCCCGTTTGTCGCCTCTTACGACAAGCATAGTCGCCTTTTACGGCAAGCATGGGTTCTGAAGACCTGTTCTATTCTATTGAAATCACCGAAAATTTTGACAATGATCAGCCATGTTAAAATTGCTTAACAACTTTCCTTTTTTACACTTGCAAAATTAGTGAAACAAGCAGATATTTCTAAATTGATGAGAAAATCTAACGATGAGCAGACATCCGCGGACCAGGTGAATTTTGTTTGTCACAGTCTGAACCATTTTTACGTCACCTTCGGCAAAACACCATTTTCGACCATCCAGTGTGTTAAAATCTCCATCTCTTGATTGGTCGGTTAATTGTAGCGTCGTGTAATTCTAATCGGGCTCAAAACGAAGCTCACGTAGCGAACGAGTAATTTTTATAATAGAATCGAGCTATCATACCCTGGATTATCGAGGATGATCAGATACTTGCTCATTTTCTAATATAGGTC